TTAAATAACCAGAAACTCCCTGTATGTTTGTGGGCTTTGTATTCAAACTTTGCATTTTTCAGAACAAGAGAGTGAGCATAAACAAGGATGAGCTGAAATCAACTTCAAAAGCCATTGAAACTGTTCACAATCTGTGTTGCAATGAGAACAAAGGAGCATCAGAGTTGGTTGCAGAGCTGAGCACCCTTTATCAGTGCATCAGGTGAGCAGAGAAACCAGTCCTAACTTCTCTTTGTTGGAAGGAAAGTACCATTTTATGACTAATGCTACAGGGAAGTGCCTTTGTGGGCAGCTCTGTGAGAGCATCCTTACTTCAGAACAAGTGAGATGTGGTCTGAAAGCAGCTTTCAAGATTAGCCATTGGACTTCTTGAAATCCTCCCTTCATGAAGACATAAATTCTGGCTGACTGACAAATTGCCCCTCTTGCATTGCAGAGCATGTTTGGCTCTGCCACTGGAAAAGGATGACAGATTGTTTTGTCTTCCCAATGAAGCCTTCTTAGCAATAGATACGTCTTCTTAACACTGAAATAGCAGATATTGAACAAACTGGAACAAACTTTGAGTGTATGTTAATTATGTTGACTGCTTTTAGCATTTTGTGCTGAGTAGGAAGTATCTTATAGAAAGAATTTTTCTCCAGCCATTTTTTTTCCTTCTGTTTTGATGGGACTCATCTTGATGTGATGACAACTTTTCAATCAAAGCTTTTCAAATGTTATTAGTTCTGGCCTGAGGTAGACTATGACATTGTAGCAATCATTAGAATGTACTGGAACATCTTCCAGCGGTGGCTGGTTGTTTGGATGGTCCTTTTCTAAAGTGATCTCTTCCTCTGCAGGTTTCCAGTGGTGGCAATGGGTGTATTAAAGTGGGTGGATTGGACAGTGTCAGAGCCCCGGTACTTCCAGCTGCAGACTGATCACACTCCTGTTCATCTGGCATTATTGGATGAGGTACAAATGTACAAATAAGTCCTGTTGAGAGCAAAAGCAATTTTAATCCTTGTAACCAGAATTATATCCAATTCACGGTCAGTAAACATACAAAGATGGATCTGTTTCTCTTCAGTTATTTGGATTTGTCAGCTCTGTGTAGTGGAATAATATTTTATAAAAGAATTTACCTCTGACAGTGAATATGAATGCAAACTTTTCTACCAGGCCCAGCATGTTGGTTTTTAAAGTGAAGTTTAAAGATGAATTTCTCATCTTGTTTGCAGATCAGTACGTGCCATCAGCTGCTTCATCCACAGGTTTTACAGCTTCTTGTCAAACTCTTTGAAACAGAACATTCACAGCTTGACGTAATGGAGCAGGTGATTCTCAGAGGATTCCTTTTTTATGTTCCTTCATATTGTATATGCTTGCTTAGAATAACAGAATAAAGTCAAATAGAATAAAGAATAGAATAATTAGAATAAAGTTGTTATCACAGCAGCTTTAAGAGTTTAATTTAGGAACATGATCACGGTTAGCAAGCATCGCAGTAGATATTGAATCCGTGAAAAAAACAATGAAAATAGTCCTGTTTTGAGAGTCCTGACCTGTTGGTTTTCTTCCCACCTCCAACCCTTCCCTCCTTACCAGCTGGAACTGAAGAAGACTCTCCTGGATAGAATGGTGCACTTACTTAGTCGAGGATACGTCCTGCCTGTGGTCAGCTATATCCGCAAATGCCTGGAGAAGTTAGACACAGATATCTCTCTCATCAGATACTTTGTTACAGAGGTCAGCAGCAAAAACTGTTAACATACAGAAATAAGCTTTAATATTTGATGTATGTGTCTGGATGCTAAGTCAGCTTGCCTCAAGTTCAGAAATTCTCAATGGTATGAAAGCAGATTCTGAGCAATACAAGTCTACTGAATTTAGATTTCTGAAGGTATTAAAGTAATGGGTAGAGTACCACAAGAATATGTAGTTGGTAACTTGTGTGGAGGAGGAAAGGTCTCAAAAGTGCAACTACTTGAGTGCCTATGAGAAGACTGTGAATTAAATACTGCCTCTACCACTTGTCTACCTGCAAGAATGATCCCGTTCTGTCTGCATTTCAGGTGCTGGATGTGATTGCTCCTCCTTATACCTCAGATTTCGTACAGCTTTTTCTTCCAATCTTGGAGAATGAAAGTATTGCAGGTACTATTAAAACAGAAGGTGAACATGATCCTGTCACTGAGTTTATAGGTAAGTCATGCTTCTTTGTGTATTTGTTACAATTTGTAAACGACTCTTAGGAGGAGGATTGCTAAAATAGGAATGCCTACCAGATATTTTAAGATTATTTTGTTTTTATGCACCTATGTTTAGCAATTTTCCTTTAATTAGGAATCTGAGTAGTAGTGAGGAGCTTAAATGCTGTTTCTGAAGAGGTGCTACTGTCTTAGAGAAAGTAAAGGAAGGAAGTGGTCTTTCATAGTACACCCATTTCCTGGACTAAAGTGATCTGGTTTTTAAAATCCTAATTAATAACATAATAGAGAAATCCACATGCAAGCAAATAAATCAGAGTAATGTACTGAACACTTTATTCCATTTCTTCTTTTAAGCTCACTGCAAATCTAACTTTATCGTGATGAACTAAGCAGTGGAAAAGTCAAGAATGCAGAGCACATGGTCACTGCTCTGACATATTCTCCACCAGTGAGGCTCTGTAACTGGGCAACCCAGCAACAAAAAAAAAGAGGAAGAAAGGGCTGAAGGGCATTTGATTTGCGTGGTGACCTTAAGCCTTCTGTCAGCGGATTGTTTATGCAATTGGGAAGATGAAACAATACTGAAGGATTCTCTAATGTTAAATAGCATAAATCTGAATATTCTAAAGAGGGCAGCAGGAGGCAGACTTCTCTCACAGAATGTTCTTTTCTGCTACTTGCAGAACTTGTCTCTGACTCTTTGTGTAACATATATAAAAACCTGAAGAACGGGGCAGGTAGTTCCACTAAAGACATTTTTCAGATAGTTCTCTGATGATTAAATCTTGAATGCTGTCAGCTTTCATCTTGTGAGCCTAAAAAAGGAAAAAATCTGTGTACTTAGTTCTGTGCTGCAGAGAATCCATAACGCCTCTCCCTCACCTTTGTGTTATATTAGAATTCTAAATATGCTACACACATACTGCAATGAAAAAAACCCACATTTTAGGTAATACAGATGGAGTTGGAGCCATCAGGGTTAGTTTTGTATTAACACATGAATCTGATGTGAGTGTGGTATCCTTCAGAATCTATTTTTTGTTAAATAGATGCATTAAATGTTACTGGTAAGTTTCATTACCACATCAGAATTCTGTTGCTGTCTGAAAAATAAGTGTGCAAAAACTTTGTGACTGTGATGTGGCTTGGTTTTTTTAATATTTATCTCTACTCTGTTCTGGTTGATGCTGAACAGTGGGGGATTAGCCCAAGATTTTAATGTCTCTTTAAATAAAGGTCTGTTCTTTTCCAGAGACTTCTTACAGTGTATCAGTCCATTCTTTGTTTCTGTTCATCAACCTGATTTCTCCCGTAAAGTATTTAAAAGGGGCACAAACAAGCATGGATGTGCCTTGCAAGCACATCTGCTTCCTGAGAAACCTGTTTTCTAAAAGACAAAGGTGAAAGTTTTAGGTCCAATTGTTTTATAAATTAAAAAACCAAATCGCTTTGCTCTTTTCTGCTGTCAGCGATTTATGAATGGAAACTCCAGGCTGCCCTGACAGCTTGAGACAGAAGCTGGGTGCACAGATTCTTCACTCCTTTCTACAAGGAGTGCATCTTTCCTTTCTTCAGCTCTTCCCTTGCATTGCTGGCAGGTTTTCTAGGCACAGCTTCAAACCTTCCTTTCTGTGCCTATCTTTGGGTAGATATCTAAGCGCTTAAACTTCCATGAGATCTTCTCTTTCATACTATTTGTGTAGAATCATCATACATATTTGGTTCTTGACTTCCTCTTAGTTGAATTAACAGCTGCAGAAACAACTTGCCCTACAGAACTTCATTTTAGACTGTAGCCCTGCCTCATGTATCATCTTAGTGATAATCAGCAGCAGTTTGTTCCTGCCTCCATTGCAAATTGGCCAGCTGTTCAAACAAATCATACTTCTTCACGTTTCTCAGCATTCAAGCTTATTATCCCTTCCTCTAACACATGAATTCTGCATTCACTTAAGTGATACTTGATTAGTTAATACTTAGCAGTACTGGCAATAGCACTGTTACACTCCCTTATTCTGCTGAATGAGACTTAACTTACACTAGGCACTGCATTTTGGCAGAATTAGTCCTTAGTGGCACTGTGAAGTCACTTTCCTAAGGTAAAGCAAAGAGGCACATGGAATTAACCAGTACACTTCGTGAGATTCTTGGTTTTTATCTAGAGTTAAAATGTCTATTCCAGTTCTTTAATGCCTGCTGGAATGTGGCCTAACTAGTCTAAAACATGTTCTTAGATATCAGAGAGAATCAGAACAGCACAACAATCTTAATTTCACCCTTGACTCTAGTAGCCTTATTCATTTGTGGGTCTTCACCACTCTGCCAGCCCTAACTTACCTTCTGATGATGAACAAACTGCTCTTGCTTTGACAGATAAAGCCAAGGTAAGTTGCAGAAATTGCCCACCGAGAGACAACAGATAACAGAAACTGCTTTGCTTCTTGTCTACACCGGTGAGGTTTGAGTGAGGCATAATTCACAGGTTAGTTTGATTTACAGTAGTTTTTGGAGATTGATTACTAAGTTGTATTGTACACCGTCAGAATGTTTCTTTGTTCCCTGCTATCCCTCAACAGTTACCTCCTAAGTTGTAGCTCAGGCTCCAGTGTGTGTAATGGAACTTCACTTGAGGTTATTTAATTAAAAAAACCATCATAGTTGCTACATACTGTGGCACTGAGCAGCCCTCCCACAAGTTCAGTTACAGCAGTGCTACCTCAGCTAATGACGCTGCCATGTGAGACTTCTTGTCAGGTACAGCAATAAACAAGTATTAATAAACTCTTAAAATTGCATGCAATCACGTAAGATAATGTTGTCAGTTTATTAAATACAATTAACAATGGCAGTTAGTGACACTTGCTATAGCACTGATTGCCACTTAGTAATTGACTCAGCTTTAGGGAAGAGAATTTTGCAGCCTTTCCTCATATTGGTGAGCAGGAGGAAAGCTCTGGCTTGTAGCAGTTTATACTTTGCCTTTCTAGAAGCAAAATATGAAAGCTAGTCATAAATTAAAGCAAGGAATTGGAACAAATGAAAGATTTAAATCCTGCTATCGCTTTGGTTGGACAAAAACAATAAGACTTACAGCAACATTTTTTTCACTAGTAGACTAAAGAGGATTTAGTTTTTGAGCCTATCGTGTCCAGAGTTAAAAGTTTGTTTTTAAATCTGCATAAAGTATTAAGCAAATAATATCATACAATTATTTGTTACTTTAGTATAAGCTCTAGATCCAAATACTGTGTGTACTTTTTCTGTCTTAGTACACTATGCAATTTGTCTTTATAAAAAAGTACATATATATACACACAAAGATTTGGAAGACAGTCTGATTAAAGTACTGTGCAACAAGGCAGACAACCGTTTTCATAGGTAAATTACTTCTTTAATTTTTAAATTCCAAATTATTTTCTGAAGGCAGCTTTTATTTGTTTTACTTTGAAGACTCGGTGTTGCATTATCTGGGCTAGTTTTGCACAACAGCATGATAGAGCTGCTCTGTGAAAGTTTTAGGCTTTTCTTTAAACAGAACAAGGTTGTGCTGGGAAGATTCCAAAGTTACTAAAAAAAAAGGTGTACAGCGTAGAGTCAAGGAAGGATAACATCTCCATATGCGCAGTCCTCTTCAACAGCAAGGTTGTACTCTGCTCCTCTTCCACCTTTATATGCACTTGTCACAATTCTGAGCCACCCTCTTTCACCCTGCAGAGAATTAATTTGCATCAGTATAAGCAGAGACGTTGTGACTTTGAAAACATAATTATGCTGTTGAATCTGTTCTGTTTTCTAAATGGGAGTGATCTAGAAGTGAATCTCGGAATTCAGTGCAGAAGCATTGCAGTAGGGTCACAGGACAATCCTGTTTGAAGGGGCAATTTGCCGTGGTGAATTTACATCCCCTTTAGATAAATATCCTACATCTGAGACTTGATTTTTGCCTACTACCAACCTATTTGCAGCTGCCTGTACAGAAGGCGTGTGTCCAACAAAGGGCAGCATTTGAGATCAAGTAGATGTTAGCTAAGTGACTTTAGCCAAGTATGTCAGTCCTCAGCTTAGGCAGTTCCCATTTTTAATTAACTGAAAATCTAGTTCAGAGAAAGTTTTATTTTCCCTAGCGGCAAACTCCCCTTGCAAGTAGAAAAACTACCTCTCTGCAAGTGGAGAAAACTCCACTGTTCCTCTAAAGTAATTCTGTAAGCATCTTTCTTCCCATGCTTCCTTACCCAGGGTTCACCCCATGAGTTACGAACAATCCAGTATTCTGTTCCATTTTCTACACCCCAGCCAGCCACAGATACAATGTGATTCACTGTGGGTGAGGGGTTGTACTCGGTATAGAGTCCTCCAGTGTAAGCATCCAGCTTCTCAGTAGCCATTATACCACAGCTGTAATGAAACAGAGCAAGCAGCTTTATACACAGGAATCAGGTTGGAGGCCTGGCTAAAAAGCAAAAAAAAAAAAAAACCCACAAAAAACACCACCCTTGTTTTTTTTTTGCATTTTGACTTCAGAGCTCAGTTTATCTACAAACAAGCTGAAGTGTGCATTAGTGCAGAGCTGCTAACATCTGCTGGAGCACAGAAATTCACTTCAGGCATTAGACTGAGTTCCAGATATTTCAATCCAAACATTACTAGTACATAAACGTTTTCCTTTTTTCTACCTTTTGGTTTTAATATGTATTATTTATTTACCTAATTGGTCCATTAGCATAGATTTCTGCCATCATTTTTTCCCTCCCGCTGACAGCACCATAGTCAGCAACTTTCCAGAGGGTGTAGTTCTTAATCACGTGGCATTCTCCAAAAGTGACACATGTTCCACACTGGTTAAACTTCTTGCATTCTGCAAAGTGAAAGAAATTATCACCACAAGAGAATGCTTTTCTTCAAGTGAATTAATGATACCATGCTATTTTTTTTTTCTTTTACACTTAATTTGAGGAAGATCCTATAAGGAATAATTACTGATACATATCTCTAATGAACTAATTGTTTTTCTGGAAATTATACTTGGAGCTTCTATCATCACTAGTTACTGTTCTTTTCGGAATAGGCACAAATGCTGGATGATGAAGCGTGCTTCTCTACAAAAACAAAAACCATTCCAGTAATACTAGAACAAACATTTCATTTCTTCTTTTTTTAGGTTGGGAGATACTCCTGAGTATTTTGGTACATTAGAGATTATGTATCGCAGACTTAAGAGATCAGATTTAGACAGTTTAGGTGGTTTAGCTTGTTTGGACACGATTCACGTTATGCTGTCTAGCTAGAGTGGAAGACACACAGAAACCTGTTCTGTTAGTCAGGCAGCAGGTACTACACTGAAAGGCAGGAACGAGTAAATGCAAAACCCAGGAAGCGATCAAGATCTTCTGCATTTGGACAGAAACCCCACCGCAAAGCAAACAGGCATCATACTTTGGTTCTTAGCTTGGTAGTTGTTACAGGTCTCGTCTGGAATCCCATGGTCATGGGCATACATCCAAACACCCGTGTGGTCTCCACCTTCACAGGATCCTGCATTAGCACAGTCAATCACATTCTGCACGGAGAGATAGGCAGAAGGCCATGCACCTTTCCTCTTTATGTTGATTCGATCTGCAATATAAAAAAATAAAAGTATAAGTAGCAGTAAGTAGTTGTTACTGGAGCGCTTGGGCTGTTAAACACTGCATCTAATGTTAAAACTGCCTCCTTCAGTGAACCTGTAACTACTTGTAAGCAACAGTTTTTGTGGTTGGAAAAGCCTCTATTGCAGAAAGGCACATAGCACGAGGCAGGCTGAGTGGCTGTGGGTTTTCATTACAAGCCTTTTCCATTAAAAGCTCAGCAAGAAGATGCAGATAATAAGGTCTGTTCAAACCCTTGAAGTGCCCTTGAGCTCTTAATTCAAATCAAAATACAAATCATGAAACCCGCTGCTAGTCATAAGCCCATGCAGCACAGCTGTCTGGCTCCAGGAACAGCAGTCACAAGCTTAAAGCAGTTAAAAAACTTTCAGAAGTATACCCACACTGCTGCAAAAACATCTCACCATCTGCTCTCAGATGGGTACTGCCATCCTGCTGCCTTATTTTTTCTGAAACAGCTGCTTACCTGACAGAAAGGCTTCCTAATCGATATTTACAAGGTGCTTCTCACAGGGCATTAACAATCTTAACTGACACAACCGTTCTTCTAACCCTATTAGACATGTGACATTCAGCTACACTTTCACAGAGCTTTGTCTGTATGCTGTGGTAGTCAGTTCATTTGAATTAACAGGGCCCTTCCCATAAGTGGAAACTTTCATTTCCTCATGTCTCAGCACAGCAGGGCCTTTTGCTGCCTTAGCAGGGGGTGCAGCAGGCTGAGCTACCAACAAAGGGATGGGGACACACTGACTGCTTTTGTATTTGCTTCTACCCTCACTGTCCCTCCGAGAAGAATAATAGAATTGGTTGGGTTGGAAGGGACTTTAAAGCCCCAACCCCTGCCATGGGGAGGCTGCTCTCACCAGATCAGCCTGGCCCTGGGAGCCTGCAGGGATGGGGCACCCACAGCTCTGGGCAGCACTGTCACAGCCTCGCCGCTCCGAGTGAAAATTCTTCCCCTAACATCTAACCTGAATCTCCCCTCTTCTAGTTTAAAACCATTCCCCTTGTCCTATTGCTGTCAGGCCACATAAAAAGTCAGTCTCCCTCCTGTTTATAAGCTTCCTTCAACAGAATGCTGAATTCCTGCTCTAGATAGCAGCTTGGCAGGCACTACAGATAGAATCCTTCTGCAAACAGCTTTTTAACCACCTCAGTACTCCCCCCTCACGTGATCTTTGGCTGCTCTTGTATCAGCTGTTTTCTGAGCTTAAACTGAACACCCTTTGCTCAGCAAAGAGCTACAGATCACCGAGGGCAAAAGGCTGGTGGTGAGAACACAGCTCTCAGTACCTGCCAGTGCACTGGTGCTGCCGTGGGCCCAGCAGGACCCGCAGTACTGAGGGATGTGCTGGTTGCGGGTGGTGCTGGCGTAGTTGACGCCATTGACGTTCCTCCAGTCCCAGCTCTGCGGGAGCTTGGCGATGTCCAGGTACTCGTGAGGCCGGGGGTAGGTTCTGTATGGAGACAAAGAAGAGCTCTGGTTGCCTGCATCTTCAGGCAAACGAGAGGAATTTTCATGGAAATTAAAGGAATTTAAAGACAAAAGGAAAAAATAATAAATCAAACAAAAAACCACAACACGGGAGTTTCCAGCATTTCGTAACGCCCGGCCCGGGGCGCGGGTCACGTGACGGCGGAGCGGTGCCGACCTTTTCCCTCAGCCCCGTGACAGCCGCAGATCGGGCAGCGGATCCCGGAGCCACGGGTTCGGGGCTGCCCGGAGCCGCTTCCCGACCGCGCCCGGACGATGTCCGCCTCGCCAAGCTGCCGGGCGCCACGGCTGCGGCAAGACGGCGGCAAGCGGACCGGGGCAGCTCGGACAACCCGCAACCGGGCGGCGGCCCGCGAGAGACGAGAGAACTCACCTCAGCCCCGGCGCCCTGCGCGGGGCCGGCTTGTAGCAGTGCTGCCCTTCCTTGACGTACAGACCGGCCCGGCAGGGGTAGAGGCAGCCGCAGAGCAGCAGCAGGAGGGCCGCGAGGCGCCGCGCCAGACCGGCCATGCCGAGCACCGCAGCACCTCCCTGCCCCGTGCGGCCGCAGCGCCGGCGTTGAAGAGCGGGGCGGAGACCCCAGCGATGGGCTGGGACCGGGCGGGGCGGCTCCGCTCGGCTCTGCGGGCGCGGCCCCGCGGGGAGCGCTTGGAGCGCTTGTGGAGGTGCGAGGGGGTTGTGAGCAGCGCGGCGGGTTGTGAGGCTGCGGCGCTGCGCCGAGCCGGGGCAAAGAGTTCCCTCCGGGCTGCCGGGGCAGGCCGCCAGACCACCCGCTCCGCTTTGTAAGCAGGTTTAGCAGCCCGCAGGCAGCTCCTCCCCGGCTCTCAGCGCGTTTTGTAAGAGGCGCGAGGACGGTGCCTTTAATGGTCAGAGAAACGGAGGCGCTGAGGAGGAAGGGAAAAAAGCCAACAGCGCGGCGAGAGCTGAGCGGGGCTGCGGCAGGACGGGCCGGGTCTCTGAAAGGCAGGTGTGTCTCAGACTGAGCGGTGGCTGCCTGCCCCTCGGCAGCGCAGAGCGGGTCTGAAAGAGCCATGGGAAGGACGGGCTGGCTGGGATAGGGATGAGGTGAGTTACAGCGCTGAGGATGTTGTTCGTGGCTCTTCATTTCAAATTTAAAATATATTCTCCGCTACTGTGGAAAAACTGGTTCCTTCTAAGCAAAACTACGTTAAAAAAAAACGTCCCTGAATGCCTCCCTGCATGTGTATATTTGTTGTTGATGTGTACTGGAATGGTGAAAAGTGAAAAAATAAGGAAAAAAAAAAATAAGAACAAATAAACAATCAAACAACCCAGTAACCACAAATGCAGGTTGCTTGTGGTCCTTCCTTACACCCATTACCAGACTTTGGTATCTCAGGCCCACTCTGATGGTGGTGGAAGCAGCGGTCAGGCTGATAACAGGAGCTGGGGGACAGGCTGGTAACAGCTGGGCTCTGTGCCAGGCTGCCCCTAATCTCTGCTGTGCCAAAAGTTGCTCAGAGGCAACCCTTCCCCAGTCTCCTCTCTCCCTTGTGACACATGCTGCTAATCTGCAGCAGCAAACGTCTGTCCCTTGGGAAGTGTACTTGAGAAGCTAACAGGCTCAAGGTTTCTCAGCAATGAAGCATGACAGAGCTGCAAACAAAACCTAGAGAGAAACGTGCTTTTCATACAGGTTTGGTACGAAGGGAGATGTGAGAACACATAGAAGCGCTCTTAGGGAGGGCCTGAAAAGAGGCACAAAAGCACTTCTACAAAGCACTGGGATTCCTTGTGCCACATGCAATAGTAATAAAGGCTGCATTAGGAATTGCTTCAGAGGAGGCATATGACTCCCAGGAGATATTTTTAGCAAGAGACAAAAACAATGTTTCGTGATTGTATATTGCATATTTCCTTCACTTCCCTTTTTTTCCTTTTTTTTTTTTTTTCTTTTTTTTTCTTCTTTTTTCTTCTTTTTTTCCCCCTGCTTGTGAAATGCCCTGAAATGCCCTCAGTGAGTGCTGCTGAAATTATGTTGCCAAACATTTTGGACAAAAAATTGGGGTCTTTGGCTTCTCCATAAATGTTAGTTATTGTAAATTAACACATTGGATATGTTAAGTAACATTTATTTGCTGTTAGTTGCTGTCTGACACCTTGTGTCCTTGCAGCCCCCAATCAGAACCCAGCAGAAGGGCTGTGGGGGGTCAGGCTCCATGTTGGGAAAAGGCTTCTGCACCAAAGGGTGGTGGGCACAGCCTTGACCTGTTGGAGTTCTTTACTTACAGATCCTTATTTACTTTACGTGTTACTTTATTATGGATTTTGCTTTTAATGACAGTTTATAGCTTGGCAGGGAGTGACGGAGCGTTTCCTAGCTCCTTTCTGTGATGCTGCTGCGTTGCTAAACTTTGTCTTGGAAGTAGTTATCTGCTCCTGCATTGGCTGGTGGGAAAGTGGAAGTCATCTGTGGTGGGGAAGTCTGGAATAAGCTGATTTTTCTCTTGTAACAAAATGAAAGCTCATAGATTCCTTATCATCAGTAACCCATAATGTGGTAAAAGTTACTTTCAAAAAGCCAAGTCCTTGCAGTGCCATCTTTTCATGCAAAATAACCAAAAGTGCTTTCCTAATTATAGTTCTTTCTCCTATCCTTAAAAATAACACTAGCAAAGCAGTGTCAGTCATCTGACGTAAACTAAGTACTCTGTTTCCAGAAGACAGTCCATCCTGGGCTTCTGTTGCTCAATGATATTGGCCCTGTTTATCAGCAGTCACGTTTCACTCAGGCTTGCATTATTTCTGAAGTGCAGTGAAGCATTTCACGCTATGGGCGTTATAGCTAATTGCACCAGAACTGGGATTTCACTCCAGCATTTTCCTGGAGAATTCCAATGCTACGCCTCAGATACAAGAAAATAAGAAAAATAATATAAGAAATATTGTCTTTCTTAGTGGTGGGAGAGAGGAGTGGGGACAGAGAAGCCGTCTGTGCAAGTTGGTCACTGGTTGACCCAGTTCTCAGATTGGCTGAAAATTAGGGATTCCTATTAAATGTTTGAGCAGCACACAGGGAATTGGGAGTGCACTGTTATGTTCAGGTCTTACAGAGTATTTTTTCTTGCTGGTGTCCCTCTTCCTCATGTAGTTGTACACTGCAAATGATGCTTAATAGTGAACTGCAAGTTTGCCAGGCAGCGTGCTAATGTTGTCATTATAGGGAATTAATGCTCAGAAGCTGTTATTGTTTTCATTATGGATGTTGCAGTGTGTGACTTTCATTACGAGTACAGTTTATGTGGTAGAGGCAGAGGTACTTAGTGCTGTTCATTTTTGCTTGTACTCTTCCTACATGAATATGTATTTCTACATATGATAAACATAAAATCATTAAGCACCAATGCAGTGCGCAGTCTTGAGTCACACTGCTGCACAAAGAACTGGAATTAAGTGTTGTGTCTATGTGACAATTGTCTCTTCCAAGCGGCGAGTAGATGCTTTGCCTCCTTGTGAAACATCTGATGAGCCACTTGTGAGGAGTCAGCTACTCCCCTTGCTGGCAGAGTGACAGTCCCAGCAGTATAAAAGGGCCCTGAGGGGCAGACTGTGCTGGGTGTAGCTGATACAGCAGCAGAACGAGGGCTTCTCCTAGGGACTGCAGCTGGAAAAGCTGTGCTAGGTTGCAGCTACCAACACTTAAGCTACACAAAATGCGTGAGATCGTGCACCTTCAGATTGGCCAGTGTGGAAACCAAATTGGAGCTAAGGTATGGTCTTTCAATATTACTTATTAGGAATAAGTGCTATCATTGCAACCGAGTCAAACATCGTTAACAGATGGGGATTTTGAAGGAGGGTCAATTGCTTTGTTGACTCGGGGATAGGATGAAGAAAATGTTAGCCATGAAAGTGAGTACATTGATGAGAACACAGTAAGATGGACCTGCTCTTCATGCAAAGGTTGAAACTCAAAGAGTGAAGCATCTGCAATGACTGTATTACAGTGTTTGTAAGTGCTCCAGAGTGTGCTTGGATTGTGTTCCCAGGGGCATTAATCCAGTCCACAAATTACCAGGACAAGTGAAGGAGCCAGTGACTTCAGGACTGCAAATTTGCCATGGCAGTACTTTAGTTCAGGTGCACAGCACCAACTGCCACATAATGATCATTGGTATGGGATTGTGTTATTCTGCAGAACACCCTGTGCTATCAGTGAACAATTAGGCTTTCCTAAGCTAAGGACTCCTGCCTACTAGCCTCCTATAAGAGACAGCTGTGTCATTTGGAGTCCATTTTTGAAGGTTAAACAGTGGTTTAGAGAGGTCAGTCACTGCTAACTTTATGTACCAGGAGGAAAAAAACCCCAAATGTTACTTTTTGCTGTGTGATGTCCTAAATGTTCTTTTTTGTTCACTAGTAGGAAGTAATACCAAAAAATAAAAGTAAAAACTAGTGACTGGGGGTGTCTTTGAAGAAGCATGGTAGTTGAAGTGCTGTTCCCTTGTGTTCTTCCTCCATTTCTTGCTCTCGCAAATGTCACCTTGGTTTCTTTTACTGACACGTGAAGCTGTGGATGGCCAGGAAATGTAATGCTAGACACAGTTTAAGTGCAACCATTCTGAAGGTTGAAAGGTGAATCATGTTTCTATTGTATTTGCCCTGGGAACCACTTAAGTCTAACAAGACCTATATAAAAGCACACATACATAAACATACCACACACATGTTGGCAGTGTTGTGTTTGTACAGTTAAAATGAGACTGGATGTTAAACCAAAAGATCTTTAAAGTTAGAATAGCTGGGTCATTATAGTAGCTGGGTGGGTCTACATTGCCACTATGGCAGCTCCAAGATAAGAGCCCCAGCACAGGACAGCCATATGAATGTCAAGATAAAACATACTTGCTGAGACAGCTTTGCCATGCCGCAGCCCCACTTGTCCATGACAGACACCCCTCCCTGCCCCAACACTGGGTTTTTTACGGTCATACCAAAGACTGGTGCTATTTAAACTATTTCTGTGTTGCTTAAACTTACAATAGTTTATCGCTAAGGACTGAATTGAGGTCTCCACCTTAAAAGTGCATAGGCAATAATCCAACCAGCATAAATGGGCTACTAAGCATTTTTCCTGAACTTATTAGGTGCAGGGGGATGATGAGGATCCCTGCTGTGATGGGTACTATTGCATTTCATTCATTTTTTGCACTCAGATTGTTCTTCCACCCTCTTCAGCCTAATTAACAAATGGCAAAGCCTTCCTTGCTTCAGGCACAGTTCCCTCCTTGTGTGCAGCCACCGGCACAAGATCAGCAGAGCTCATGCTGTACACATTGCACTGAAAAAATGAATTAATTATGACTTTGAACCTCTTTCTTTTTCCAGTTCTGGGAGGTGATAAGTGATGAACATGGAATTGATATTGCTGGAAACTACCGTGGGAATGCATCGCTGCAGCTTGAGCGAATTAACGTGTACTTCAATGAGGCTTATTGTAAGTGCACAGCACGCAGGGCATCAGTAATTTGCAGGGCCAACAGGAAGGTTAAAAGAATTAATAGAATTAAAGAAATCCCCTCCCCAAGACCTGTAGGTGGGTTGAATTTTTTTGAATAGATTATCAGTCTGTCTCTTATTTCTAACAGTAGTTGTTCATTTCCTTTTGTCCTAGCCCATAAGTATGTGCCCCGTTCTATCTTGGTGGACCTGGAGCCTGGTACAATGGACAGTGTACGATCTAGCAAAATTGGCCCACTATTTCGACCTGACAATTTTATTCATGGTATGTACAGCTTGCTGTTAGCAAACCAACCAAGGCTAATGGTCCAAACTTGCCTTTACCTCTCCTAAAAAAAACCCCTACTCTTGTTAATGTGGTTGTTCTTTCTGTAATTCTGCTTACAGGTAATTCAGGTGCTGGAAACAACTGGGCTAAGGGCCATTACACAGAAGGAGCTGAACTGATTGAAAATGTCATGGATGTGGTCAGGAACGAGTGTGAGAGCTGCGACTGCCTGCAGGGATTCCAGCTCATCCATTCTCTTGGGGGTGGTACGGGCTCAGGTATGGGCACGCTCCTCATCAACAAAATCAGAGAAGAGTATCCCGACAGAATTATGAACACTTTCAGCGTTGTTCCTTCACCCAAAGTATCTGACACAGTTGTAGAGCCCTATAATGCCATCCTCTCCATCCATCAACTAATAGAGAATACAGATGAAACCTTTTGCATCGACAACGAAGCACTATACGATATATGTTTTAGAACTTTAAAGCTCACCAATCCCACCTACGGTGACCTCAATCACTTGGTGTCCCTAACAATGAGCGGTGTTACAACCTCACTCCGTTTTCCTGGTCAGCTGAATGCAGATCTGAGGAAGCTGGCTGTTAACATGGTGCCCTTTCCTCGCCTGCATTTCTTTATGCCAGGCTTTGCTCCTCTAACAGCACGAGGTAGCCAGCAGTACAGAGCCCTCTCAGTGCCAGAGCTTACTCAACAGATGTTTGATGCACGCAACATGATGGCAGCCTGCGACCCCCGTCGTGGGCGCTATTTGACTGTGGCATGCATCTTCAGGGGCCGAATGTCTACCAGAGAAGTGGATGAACAGTTACTGTCTGTCCAGACCAAGAACAGCTCCCACTTTGTGGAGTGGATCCCTAATAATGTCAAAGTGGCTGTGTGTGACATACCACCGCGAGGACTGAAGATGGCAGCTACCTTTATTGGCAATAACACGGCCATTCAGGAGCTCTTCATCAGGGTTTCTGAGCAGTTTTCAGCTATGTTCAGAAGAAAAGCATTTCTCCATTGGTACACTGGAGAAGGCATGGATGAGATGGAGTTTTCTGAAGCAGAGGGAAACACCAATGACCTTGTTTCTGAGTACCAGCAGTACCAAGATGCCACTGCAGATGTTGAGGAATACGAAGAAGTGGAAGCTAGCCCAGAAAAGGAAACATAAAAACAGTGGCAGTATAAAACATTCTCCAAGTAAGCCTGTTGTCATTCACTAAAGGAAAAGCACCAGCCACAAGCCACGTAACAAAAATAACACCTTCCTTAAGATTATTTTCCTCTCCAAAGTTACAATACGGTGCTTTTGAAATTAACAGCAGGTATGCTCTATTTTCCTGTCTACACTAAATCACTCCCAGAAATGATCCACTATGAAGACAGGTTCCCTCCTAACAGTCTTGTAAATGTATTCCCTTCTGGAATATTATTGCTAGATATACAATATACAGCCTGTGTGTGTGTATTAGGATCACAAGCAATTTCAAAAGATGTTATAAACTTGTCAGATTTACTTATTTTCAGGTAACCACAGTCCATGTTCTGCTTGTGAACTTGCTGCTGTGTTGGGAACACACACGTGTAGGGCCTATAAAGGCAGCATGCCATCATGCACTCTAGAGATGGATCTAGAGCTGCAGACAATTTCAGTTCCTTTAGCAGCAGAATGAAGGGGAAAAACAAATGACTAAATATTCACTTTTTTTAAATTTTGTTAAGAGGATATATTTTAATAGTTCTGTCACATTGCTGGTTTGCATTACTGCAGAGCTTGTACTCATTTTGTGGCTTATTTCAATTTCAAACTATAGCTTCAGTTACACTAGCATACCAAGTTGTAAACAGTTTAACAGTTTTGGTGTGGTGTTTTGTTTTTTGTTTCCCTCCTATGTAGTAACTATTGTAAATTTTCTTCCTATCACTCAGTACAGCAACAGATGGAATGGTTTGCAGCTAAATAAGAGAAGTAAGTTCAATGTCAATCACTAAATAAGAAAAATAGCTTGAAGAAGAAAAATATGCCTTTCACAGCCATCTACTTAACACTGCATTTATAACATTCCTTGAAATAAAATTATACAGCATTCTGTAAAATACTTTAACACTTGAAAAATTTAGTAGGCAAAAATCATGGTTTATAATGACTAACATGCACTTAAAAATTCTTACTTGAAAAAAAACCAAAAACACCTTGTTTTACTGTTCTCTCAGAAGAGATTTTGTTGTACTCTGAAGAAAGCCATGCCTCATGTTTCAGTCTTTTGTATTATAGTGAGCAGTAGAAGCATCTCAGTAAACACAAATCTGAAGCCAGTCATGGAAGTACGTCATATTCCTTCCTATGCACAGGGACAATGTTATACTTGCTGTTGAGATACACAGCAGCAGAAACATCTCCATCTTCACTGGGTTAGGGGAAATGACTGTGTTCCCCTCCATTCCTGCTGCTTCCTGGTGAATCCATGCCTGCTCCCTCGCAGGGAAAGTGACCAAGTGCTAACAGGGACAGTAATACAGTCCAGAGCCTTCTGCACTTCCCACCCCATACAGGGAGCCACCTCCAAATCCTGATTCATTGATCGTGGTTCAGTCTTGGAGATGGATCACATGCAGTACCTCCATGGAGAAGTATTCTACTTTGTTCTGCCTTTAAGTGGCATCAAAATGTCTCTGGCTGAAAAAGCTTATTCTGAGCACAAAAGTATTCATTCATTACGGAAATGAAGTAGGCAAAAAAATGTTAAACAGCACTTACATCTCTCTCTTATTAATAGACCTGAAATATCAGCATGAAAGCCACAAAGAGATCTGCCTTGACAATAAACATCTGTTGCTAACAAATGGTAGAGTGTGATAAAAAGTCATCCATTCTAACACACACGAAAGATAAGTGTCTCTGCAAAAGGGAGTAGTTTGTTTCCAAAGGAACAACAGTTGCCACACATTCATTTGTTTATTCAGCACTGAAATTTATTAGCTGATTTATGTACATGGGCAAATTTTACAGTTAACGTGTTGATGTTATACTGCAGTCTTGCCTACAGCTTGCAGTTTGCTGTTCATGTTCACAGAGCAGTTCCTAGAAGAGATTTAAAATACAAATTACTCGATTCAAGAGAACACACACAGGTAGACTACAAGCAGTGCAATGCTTATTCTCAGATCCAGAATAGATTTGTGCAACATTTATGTTATCACCACTTATTTTTTCTGGATGTGTAACGCAATCAATCACTCCTGATCATACTTACAACAACTTTTTCAAAACCAAGCCTTATGAGCTGCAGGCCTTGGTACAGAGATGTATTTTATGACAGTCTTGTCAGTTACAAGCATCTTACAGAAAGACATTTCATCAACAATACTCTCTGCTAGCATAACTGCAGTAATGTTAAGGTACAAACACTGACTTTATGAGGACAGGCTGTTGTCCTATCAGTGTAACAGTCCCCAACACAAAACTGCCCTTGCAAATTACCTGTTATGTAGTGCTTCAGGCAGAGCCCAGAAGAGACCTGAGCTGCTGGCTGCACGTGCAGTGTCACACACAGAGATACAAGCAGCAGGTCTCTTCCACAGCTATCAAGCAGCCTTTGCACAGATAACTTCGAACAAAACCCAAACCTTTAAACGCAGAGCCTGAGGGGCGCACAGCCCCGCGCTCAGAGCGCAGCGATCCCCGCACTGCCACAGAGCAGCCCCAGCCCCGCTCACGGAGCTCCGTGCCGCTCCTCCAACCGCGGCACGAGACACGCCGCGCTCACACCTATTGGCCCTGCTATTCCTTCTTGGCCTTCACAGTCTTCACGGTCGCCGTCGCCGCCCTCTCCGCCTCAGCTTTGTACTGAGGCTTCATCGCCGCTCTGACAACCTGAGCGCAGATCTGGGAATACCGGATGTAGCTGAAAACAGAAGGAGAAAGGAGAGGAGAATCAAGTTGGGAACCTAAAGGCACCGGCCCGCCCTCAGCCACCGCCGGCGCTACCTGAGCCCGGCCTGCCGCCAGTACGACACCATGGCTGCGGATGAACGGACGCTCCGCTGCCCACAAGGTCAGCGCCCACCGGAAGAGGAAAGACCGCCCCGCTGCTTCCTAGGCGATCAGCAACCAAGAGTGACCTTTCTTCCAATCAGAATTCGACTTACCTTAGGAAAGCTGACCAATGGTAACCGGTCGGTTACACTGGTCCCAGTTACCGCTCTCTGGTAGCGACCAATCAGCAGGCTGAACGGGGCGCGCGACTTCCGCCTTTCTTCTCGAGGTGTCTCGCGAGAGGGAATCGACTCTCCGCGGCGGTTGCGCTGGGCACTCAGCGTGGCTCCGGCCCGCGGTTCTCTGCGTGTTTGACCCGGGGCAGGGTGTGAGTCGGGGTGGCCTCGGCTTCAGCTCCGGATTCGGCCGGTTGGGCCCTGCTTCAGGGATCCAGAAAAGGTCTGCGCGTGGCCTGCAGTGGTTCAGAGCCGGTAACGTGCGGCATTACACGTGGCCGTAAAGTACGTATGTTGGTGACGTGTTAACTCTTCGCTAAGAAGCTCTCGTGTAATCCAAGAATTCAGGCAAGGGTTAAAGGCGTTTTGGGTTTTCTTTTCCCCCAGGCTCTGTCAGTTGTCTTTCCTTCTTTTTGCCATCACTTCCCAGCATTTTCAATTTAAGAGTGTGAGGATGAAAGCGATCTGTAAACCTGTGCAGCCACTGATTGCTGCAATGCAGGCTGCCTTTGTTTGGAGTTTAAGCTGTGCCTGTCCTGAACGGTGCCCTTGGTGTGGGATTCGTTTGGCTGTAAGGTGCATTTATTTCACGCACCTGAAGTGCTATGAAATGCTTTCTCCAAACAGATTAACCACAGAAAATACAGCAAACTCGAGGCTATGATCCACTTTTCAGTAAATGATGGGAAAACAGACAATTCCCATATATAATATGCAAATGTTGAAGTAATTAGGGCTAAGGAGATCTTGGATTGTTTGTTTTATTAAATCATCGTATTTAAGTATTCATACCTCTTCCCTGTGTCTTCTTTCCAAAACCAAACCAGCCTGTGGGACGCCCTGAGGAGCCATGCAGGTCCTGGGCTGACTTGGTTCCTCTTTGCTCACCTTTGGGACCACGGAGTGCTGTCATGTCACTGTGCAGTGATGATTTAACTGATGATAGCAAAGCTTTAAAGCATAGAATAATGTTCTTTATTAGAGATCGCAGCTCAGAGCTGCTGTAATTAACAATCCGCACAGTAGTGATGACAGGATAGATTTACAGGGGAAAAAAAACAAAACAAAACAGTTTTTCACCAGGTACATTGTCATTTGTCTCCAGAATATCATAAGCCAGTACGAGAAGATGATTACCTTATTAGTGTAACTAATAGGCACAGCAACCAGGAAGGGAGAGTAGGAAGGCAGAGCTTCCTGTCCTTATTTGCCAGTTGATGTCTCTGCTGAGATCACACTGCAGTTACACTGACATTCTGAAAGCAGGTTTTCCTTCTGTCTGGACCAACAGTTTAAGCCTTGTGAGCTGCCCAGGTCATAAACGTGGCTCAGCAGAACAGAAGTTCTTGTAGCTGAAATGGACACCTGAGTTCCTGCTGTGTGTCCCTATGTTCTCTCTCCCCACCTGGCTGTCTCTCACCTGTTCCTCTTTTTAATCAGCTGTTTTTTCCCCCCACCACATCTTCCCTTTCTGTATCTTCATGAGAAATGCCTCTGCAGTTCTGTGCAGTGCACTCCGATTTCAGTCTGTTTTGGAGATGCATGATGTGGGTGCAATTATTTACACACTTAGCTCTATTTACTATTTGTAGGTTTTGAAAGACAAACTGTCAGCATGAATTAAAAGTTAAATCTGTGGGAGAGGTACCATGCTGAGACAGAATGGAAATTACCTTAATGACTGAAATTGAACTCTACAAAAATTGCAGAGTATATATTGATATTTATAAACCTGTAAACAAGGCACCATTGTAGAGTTGTACAAACTGTTTTCAAGCCCTGTTCAAGTTTTGTTTAAATGCTAGAATGTATTTGTAAAGCCTGAATCTCCCTTCAGATAAAATCTTTTAGAGGCGTAGGAAACATAAGTTAAAAAGGAGCACACAAAGGAGGGAGGCTTGTAAGGGTACAGTGAGTTTACAGAGAGAAGAAAGGATATATTAAAAGAGTTAAATACAGAGATCAAGAGAAGCTGAAGAGGTGCGATTAGCAACATCTAGAAACGTGAGAGTGGATACATCAGTGGGAACTGAAGTTGTGAGGTTAGAAACGTCCAAAGGAATTGAGGAAGTGAGGGAAGAAGAATCCTGAAAGCAGACGCTGGAGACATCCGTGAAGGGTGCAGAGATGAGGTTAGAAACATCCTCAGCAGTCGATGAGGGTAACTCAGAGGAGCCCTGAAACATGAAGTAGTTAAAATCAGTGAGATCCAGTGATTCTGAAGAGGTTGAGGTTTGCTCTGAGATGCATGTTGGGGTCGAAGGGATTTCGCAGGAATCATCTAAGGAAGCTGAATGACTGGAGGCATCTAGGGAGGGTGAAGAAGTGAGACTGGAGAGGTCTAAAGAGGATGAAGAAGTTGGACTCGAGAAGTCTGGAGAAGGTATTGAGGTGAGACTTGAGAGATCTAAAGAGAGCGAGGAACTGTCGCCAGAGAGATTCAGGGAGCCTGAGGAGGTGAGACTTGATAAGTCCAGTGAAATGGAGGACGTGAAACTGGAGTGCTCCCAGGAATCTGAGGAGGTGATACTGGAGAGCTCTAAGGAGACTGAAGAGGATGTACTGGAGAAGTCTGAAGAGGTTGAAGATGTGAGACTGGAAAGGTCCAGAGAAGATGAAGAAGTGAGACTGGAAAATTCCACAGAGGATGAAGAGCTCAGACTGGAGAGATCCAAAGAATCTGAAAAGGGGATTTTTTTTAGGAGTTCCAAGGAGGCTGAAGTCTTTACACTGGAGGGGTCCAGGGAGGCCAAGAAGTGAGACCAGGAAGGTCCAGGTGAGAGACGAAACTGAAATGCCAAGTAAATTCACAACATGACCAATTTTAAATTGGAAATATTTTTAACTAAAGATCTCTACTAACATCAGAACAACTTTAAAAGACACAATGAAACTCAAACGGTATCAGTTTTGAAAATAACACACAATTCTAGTCCTTACCTCTCTTGATGTTGCTGATTTTGTGCAGGAAAGTTGAGTAGTAAGAGCTCGTAGAATTATTTAGAATACTGCTCCTTCATGGGGGAGCAGTGCAGAAGTACACATCCAGAAGAGTATCTACAGTAGAAGGCATTTTTGTGTCTTGGCATGGCTCTCCCTGTTCAGTGAGATTTTAACATCTGTGACAGCCTGACAAAGAGTACCCTCTGAAGGTCTGCAATAAAACAGTGGCAATGCAATGTAATGGAAATGAAAATGTTTTTGTTTCTCTTTTCCAGATAGCAGAGGATATCCAGACACCGGGCTGCTTACTGCTGATGCACAGAGATGAAAATAAAAAGTGCACAGATGTACATGGTGGCTTCGAGTCAAACCCAGCCTCTCACTGTAAAGGTGTGACTGAATCCTTCCTTCTGATTCATAATGTCTAACTCAAAACTGTGGATCTTCCTGATGATGCTAACAAAGTAGCAAAGGAAGTAACTAATTTTTCTCCACAGCAAGTACAGGATTTATTTTTGAAAGCCAGCAGTATGCTAAGCTGATGCTGTGGTAAAGAAATACGCAGTCGTATCAGTTCTGCTTGGTTTTAGATAATATGAGGTCTTATTTTATTATTTTAATTTTGTACCTCTGGGCATAAAACTTGAACTGTAACGACAGTAATTTTTAGGTTGTGGTAAGCTTGAATTGATGAATAACATTACAGAGATAGAATGGAGGCATTAATTAAAAAGGAAATGGAACAGCTGATATTTTAGTTCAAAAAGGTACACCTAATTATAGTACGAGTGGATCAAGAGGCTGATCTGCAGCTGCTGCCTTCTCATCTCAAGACTGTTGTAAAACAGTAGTTGAACCCTGTTGTTTTTCCAGTCGTAGGCAGAAGATGGCACAGAGTTCTTCAGAAAGTTATCCCAGGAGTATTTTATGGACCAAGGAAGTGGATATAGCAACAGGAGACTGCCTTTTCTCAGGTGAATACATCCAGGCTTTGCTGTGATTACACAACTGCTGCATGTATAACGGATTTAGCATAATCACCAGCACTCCCACTGAGGTCACCTTTTAGTGGCAGGTGTCTGCTGAACACAGACTGAAGGTGACAGGAATAATGTTTAACTGTGTAAATATTAAAAGTGGGGGTTTAACACAAGACAAAAATTAACAGAGTTAAAAAAAAAAAGCTGATATGTGCCAATGATGAGATCTGAAATAGTTCATGAATGCACCTGAATGTGTATTCATAGTGTATCTGTAACTTTAGAGCTCATGCAGTGTGGTTGTAATTTTGTCAGTATCTGTAGATGAGAAGGCAGAGCACACAAATCTTTCTTGATGCATCTTTGCGTGCTGTCCTCTACTCACAGTAAGAAAATAAAACTAAGTAGTTCCTTAAAAAAGCCCTTGTTGTTTAACAACTGCATTGCTTGGTGACTGACTTTATCTCTAATCTTATAAAGTTTCTCAAGTACATTGTACAGGAAAGAAAAATAATTGCACAGAAGGAAAATTACAGTAGAAAGAAAAGCCAGTATCAATGACTTCCAACAGATTATAAGAGCCATTACCCCTTCACTGCATTCTTTATGCCTTAACTCCATAAGGTTATTGCCTATTTTTCTATGAAGTAACACTGTCAAGAAACATGGAATTACAGTTACTATTGTATAAAATATACAGATCAGTAGTCATACTTCCTACCTTTGATAGCTGTGGATTTATCTCCTTTCTCTGCTTGTGTAAGCCGTATTGGGCTGTGCTGCTAATGCTCTGCTGTTCTCTCTGCTGATGACCCTAATCTGCTCCACAGCTACTGGAAATCATGGCATGCTGATGACAATAAAGGTCATCTCCTATTAAATCTCCTCTTTGTCTAAGCACAGCACTAAGCACAGAGCACAGCAGAAAACATGCTCCAAAATCAGCTCTAATCTTAAAATAAAGTTGCACTTCTGTGTTGTTTTCTATTACATTTTGAAGGTTATTTGATGAAGCAGATGAGGAAACTTATTTTTAACTTCTGGACATCTGGATTCAAGTTGAAAATATTTTGCAGGGTCTGCCAAGTCTTAGCTGCCCATCTGGGAATAAATAGTCTCTGGAGGAGCCCAGGATCCGCAGAGAAGAATTCAGGTACATTCAAGGTCTAAGAATGTTGTGCATGATTTTGTACATGTTTTGATGTGCTTGCTAGCTTTTTCTTGAATGTTATGATAAAATAGCATAATAACCTAAAACTTTCTGTCTACAGTCTGTTACAGTGTTGAATCAAACTTTAGAAAGCATGGAGGTGGCAGCCAGGGCTGGGGCGCTTTTTCAGAAGTTTTAAGTCTTACAGGTGCTTCTGTTTCTTTGAAAGGTTAGGCTGACTTAGGATCCTGCTGTAGGGAACCTGGACTCTATGATCTCTGGAGGTCCCTTCCAGCCCCTATGATTCTGTGATCCTAGTTAAATAAGCACCATTATTGCACTTCACTTTACAGACTAGGAAATAACATCATCTGTGCAATACCACCCTACTCCATTCCTCCCCCCCCCCTTTCCTCCCCCTGCCCAGAAGAAATAAGGGGAAATCGTGTAGCTTGCTGAATGTCTCTCAAAACTGAGAGAAAACTTGAGAGAGAAAATAAAATAGGCGGAATATCAGGCTAAGAAAATTAAATGCTTTTACTACTTCAGCTAGATAATTCAAAATACAAGGTGACTATACAGCATGACTGAGTCCCAAGTGCAGGTTCTGGCACACAGTTTTTATAGCAGCAATGCTGAGTCAACAAAAACTTTCAGTGCAGATGGGTGCATGGAAGCTGGGCAACTACACAGCACAGAGAGGTTACAAACCCAACAGATCTTCTTAAAACACCTTGCAAGTAATATGAAACAAGTTGTTACTTTAGCTGTCTCCAGCATGTGTGAATGAAGAAGTGAATAACAAGTTAGGTACAATTTACAGTAAAAATCCTTAGGACCAGAAAAGTGCAATTTCCTGTACTAAGTTAACACCAAAATTCCACTACTAGTATCACCAATTCTTATATCATATGTGAGCAAAAATCTTTTACACATTGTTTTTTCAAAACATTTAAAACAATGAATAGCAACAATAGCTAATGATTTCTAACTTAGTTAAAAATTCAAGTGAACAGTGTAATAAGTCATCTTATCATCTTCTCCAGGCCATGAGCTTTGGATCTAAAGCTTACTCACTTCTGTTTCTTAGAAAAGTTATTCAGTTGAGCTTGAAGTTTGTCCACTTTAATAGCATCTGCAGGTGAGGTGAAGAATGAATCCACTTAGGTGAGCTGAAAGAAGTAATGATCCAGACCCACTGCTGATTTGTTCTCATCATATTCCTCTATCCCTCTCCCACCCCCTTTCTTTCTTTCTAGCCCTTAAATTTTGTCCCTCCAATTGTAATTCCATTTTCTTTCCCACCTGCCTCATTAGTTCTGACCAGCAGAATGCACAGCTGCTCTGCACAAGCAAACATCACATTCACTGCAGCATCAAAGCATTCAGCCACAGCACCCTGCATTCATCTGAGCATTGCCAGCCATGACACAGCTATGCAGGCAGCTAGCAAAGAAACCATCTGATAGCAGTGCTCACACTTCCTTCTCTGATGGAACACACGGTGTGTAGTTGCTGCACAGCCCACCACACCAAATCAAACAAAGCTTCTTTAGGTGAAGTCTCCTCTTATGACCATTGTGAGTAAACAACCAGACTGTTCCATGACTGTACAGACTCAAGCAACCTTCTGCTCTTAACAGTATGAGGTTCCATGTAGAGAGACATACTCCTTGACAGCTGAAGTGTACAGATCTAAGTCTAAGTACAGCAAAAACCTTCCCCTGTGATCTAAAAACTGAAATTTGGTCACTAATTAATGTGTGAGATTGATGGGAAAAAAAGTGGTTAGTTATAAAAGAGCAAGAAAGACCACAGCAGCTGCAAACAGGTTTGATTTATTGCCACTTACAAATGTATACTATAAGATACACATCTGAATAAAATAAGCTATTAACCCTGGACTATTCCTTCAGCTCCATGCCCCACCCAGATTAATACTCTAGCAATTAAAAGAAATGAATAGAACACAGTTTGAGGAACTAGGCAGAACGCAGCTAACATTTTATTTAAAATAAAAAACCAAGCACATACAGAAAGCAATATCCCTTGGAATAATGAGTGCAGGCATATAAATAAAATAGCACAAAATAAATCACGATCTTCCAAGAAGTTGTTGAATGCTTGCAAAAATTAAGTAGTCTGAAGTTCTTTTTCAGTGCAAGGACAAACTGAATTCGTACTGTGTAGGCCCTTAGTGCACAAAAACTAGGAAAAGATAAAACTGACTTTAAAATGGCAAGTGATGCTGAAGGCTGAACAAATATTTGAAGTCACTTTTAAGCACTGCATTTTTTAATCAGAAGTTACAGTACAGTTTTGCAGAAGTTTCAAACACACTTAAGTTGAAATGCTATTTCAGCTGCAATAATCTTCTGTAAAAGCACAAGAAACCACAATTATTTCAGTTTATAAAGGTATTTTCAAATCATTTGTTTTAGAAAAATATTTAGAATAGTTAAACTTTTAAAAGGTGTATACATACATACCTCTTTTTTTCCCCCCAAACTCATTATTTTCCACCCCCCTCTAAGTTTCCCACTTAAAATAAGCTGTTTACATAGCAGATACTATTCAATGGGCAGTTGCACATAACAGAAATGGCATGCAACATGAAATATGCTGGAACAGGTGACATTACAGTTCTTAAAGGTTAAGAGAGTACTGAGATTACTTGTAAGCTTAGAATCAAAATTGCAGGAAATGTCTCTGGCACCAGAATGAAGGACCCAGCTGACTTGGGGCTGTGTTTTCCCATTATTTTTTCACACCAAAGGAGTCAGATGGGACAGGCAGCCTCTACTGAAGTCAATAGGACCACCAGCAAACTGTGTATTATTTAAGTACAAATGTCAGGGTCTGAGCTTGAAATTCCCACAGCTAATCACTGAAGTCAGTACCGAGAATCTGTAATAAGTACCAGGAAAGAAAAGTGTAGAAAACTTGAGGTTTTCCCTTAAAGAGCCTTATTTTATGAGCAAATAAGCCTAAAATGTAAAGGACCTTCTGGAACTCAGAACACAGCGTTTAAAGGACAAGAAATCGTTGCCCTTTGTTGTGTAACAAGTTACTTCCAGAGCACAGTCAAGTTAATGAGTATATTGTTAGTGTTCTTAATACTACTTCCTTTCATGCTCAGGTATCTCGACCCAGCTTCAACACTTTTTAGTCCTTTACACCATACTTTGAAATTCTGGAGTGAACAGCTGCTATTCTCAGAAGCGCCATCAGCTTATGAAATTGTTAAGGCTCAGTGCATATTGTACCCCTTTGTTTGGTGGGCTCCTAGAAATGGAGTTATTCTGTAAGTTTAAGATAAAACTTTTATCTCAGATTTCTGCGTTTCCAGCCCAGCAGTGTCAAACTTAGGAACAGAATTTAGGTGTTAGCAGATAAGAGACACTTCTGAATGTTTTACCTATACTGACCGAAAAATTATAATAGAGTACCAGGTTAGCTCAACTAGTTAAACTAGTTAAAAAGCATATAAAAATATTTTCTACATTCTTTTGTTTTTCAAGCTTCAAGTAATAAACTTTCTGTTAAACCGAGTTGTATCACACAACTGTCAATGCTTAACAAATAGGACAATGCTGGAACAAACCTTCTGTTAATGTTGGGCTTGGTCCCAAGAGGTAGTCCATAAGTCACACAAAAACAAAAGTTCCACAGAAGTCAACCAAACATGCCAGTCTCCTTCAACATATACAGCCTCACCTCTAAACGAGGCCATTTCAGGTCTGAAGTATTATAAGTTAGTGTTCATGTAAATACAGGAATACTTGAAAATTATTTCTTCATCTGCAATTGAAGTTCGGTCCAGCTGAACCAATATATTAATTAAGCTTTGCCAATCAGCCTCATTAGTAAGAACTTAGTTTTTCTCCAAATTAAAACTTGAAACATACCTAATACATAGGTATGCCCTTAAATAATATATATTTACATTTGAAGAGAAGCTTTAGATTGCTAAACCTTGTTAATAACACAAATATATTTACTATCATTTCTCTACAAATGCTGCTGCTGCCATTGAATTCCTCATCGTTCCTCTTGCTGAAGCTGTGAACTCCTCAATTTCAGCATTGAGTCTATTTATTACCCATTCCAATGCTTCACGGCCCTACAGGTTAGAAAAAATAGGTTTTAGTGTATGAATCCTAGCAATGATCCAAGCAAAGGTAAAGAAATACACAGCTTTGTGACATTCTTTACTTCAGAAACCTGACTAACACAGAAAGATGTGCTGGCTCAAACCAAGAATATTCCTTATGTCAGCAGTGCTGTGTTATGAAGCACAAAGTGGCTTCTTATTCAGTTTGTGTTTTATCATTCTTGAGGCTGAACTCAAAGGGTAAACTCTGAAAAGATTCACAAAGAACAATCCTTCAAACACCACTTCATTGCTCCACATCACTGCTGCAGATGAGTTTTGATGCGTTCCTTCTCAATAGCAAACCTCACAGATGGCATCAGGAGGGCAGCCAAGGAGTGAGAGGCTTAAGTGAATGGAAATGCTTTTCCAGTGAAGATTCAGAGCACTTGCCAATAGGATTTATTATCCACATTTGCAAGGAGAAAAAAAGAGCGAGTTCAAAAGGCTGAGCATTCAGGAATCTACAGTACAGACAGTAGAACTACTTGTATCCTAAGACTGCTGACAAAGCCAAAAAGTAATACAGAGATTTGCACTGCCATTTAGCCAGTGGTCACACGTTACACAGAGCTCATACTTACTTTATTAGCATTGGAAGAAATCGTGTTCGCCATTAATCCCTCTAGGTAACTGCTAAGACTGACACCTTTCACAGATATTATTGCTTCTTGTGTCAAAATGGTTCTGAAATAGAACAGAAAGTGCATTGTGCAGAGTAGTTTAAAGCAGTGCATTGCCCGAAGGCTTCCTGCTCTGCCCCAGCAAGGACACTGCCATTGCCTTTGCTGGTAGCACAACCCCCTCTCAGTTGCTTAAGTGCACTTAGTTCTACCGTGAAACAAAAGCCAGGAGTCCCCACTAAGTCCAAGTGACTCTTTGTAGCACTCAGCTATTTCCAACGTCAGCAGCCTGCAGTTAGAGCACACAGAGCAAATGGGAAGATATACTGGAACAAAACAGTATTAAGATATCTCCTGTAACAGTGGGTTTTAGCCTTTCCCATGGCCATAGGCAAAAAGTCTTCACTAATTCTAGAAGTACAGATTCAGCACTCTTTGAAGTTGCCTTAAACAGACAAATAATTGCATGGGAACTACTGAGTCATGGCCTGAACCTCTGATTGATCACCTGAGGCGAGCCATGAGCCAGCCAGAGGAGCACAGGTGAAGGCAATTCTCCTGTGCTGCAGGAAGGGGGGGAGCCTGGCTGCACCCCTCCTAGACCTATTTAAGAGCTGGCTGCCAGTGAGGAAGGATCTCTTCTGGAGATGGCCTCCATTGGTGTTTCGTGGTGAGCCCAGCATAAAGGTAAGCCTTCCATTTTATTCTCTTTTGTTATCATTGTCCACTTTGCCCAACTCTCTTGATTATATTGTGATTGTAACATCTTGATATCCATTGATTATACAATAATGTTCTCCAAAATGATAAAATAGAGGCAGATAAATGTGCAGTGTACAGTTTTATGCTTGGACTGATGAAGGGATCAAAACTCAGAGCTGTTAAGTGAAGACACACAGATATGCTCAGCTACATGCAGGATGCAGCAGAACTGCTTGAACAACTGAGCTGAACTGGGCTCCACTGTGCCATGACATTCACGTTCCCCGTAGTGCTCTCCAGAAGCAGTGTAGCTAAAGTGACAGTATATTATCTCTTCAGCCAAGACAGCACAACAGAAGTCACACAAACCCCGCTGCATCATCCTCTATAAGGAAGACCAAAGCAATTTACAGAGCCAAAGTCTGCTCTCCCTCGGGCAGTCTCAGAAGGAAGAGGTACTCACTTGTCTGGTTCGTGAGGGTGCGGTTTATAGACAAGCCTCTCATCTACTGACACGAGGTTTGTAAATGAAATCTGCAGAACATAAAACAAGATTACCCCTCCGTAAAAGCATTACAGAAATACTATATAAAACTGCAGATGGAAAACCAACACAGATCTGATTTAAACAAGGTTCTTCTTGCAAGTATTAGCATTAAGGTTGTAGAACTCAAAAAATGAATCTCCAAGTTCAGCACTTGCTGATCTCATTGTCTTTTCCTGGATTGTTTGGATCACTTATCAGCTACCAACATTTAGCATACACAAATATCACGTTTATGTCAAGGAATCAGAAAGGTGTGGCAGTACGTAAAGCAGATGTTAAACCATCAGGAAACTGGGACACTGTGCACCAAAGGGCTTGGAGAAAAACATTCCAGAAGAACAAACAAAACCAAGAGTGGCAATTTGCTCATCAGTGTGTTCTGTATGCCTTGTGGTTGGACTTGATGACCTTAAAGGTCTTTTCCAACCTGCGTGATTCTAGAATTCTACGATTCAGGTGCTTCACATCTGAGCAGTGCCAAAAACACAGCAGCTCCTTTCTGAGAAAAAGAACTGGTCAGCTATAAACACATCACTTACACATGTAACACACCGTTCTAATGCAACTTGCAAATCATTTGTAAGGTGCCTTTCGTCTTCAAACTTCTAAGGCACAACTATAAGCTGCAATCTACTTGAACTGCAGAACCAGAGTACTCACGTTACTGGATTTAAGCTCCATTGTTTTTTTCAGTGGGTCAACGATGGAGTGCTCCTGAACGTAGGTCTTCGTTCTGCATGTGCCAATGAGCTGGGAGATGGGCACGAATACACACAATTAATTATGCCGCCATTATTTTTAGTGCTTTTAAATGCACAGGAAGTGGTTACTGTATTAAACAGACACTGATGACTGAGGTTTAGTTAAAAATAAAAGCACTCAGTGAGGCAGATCTCATTTTTACAATTGGAAGCAATGCAAGAGCTTGCCAGTTTTTGTCTGTCTGGAATTCAGTACATGTAACACTGTTAAAAACTTCCTCGTGCACAACTCATTATGAGCTCACACATCTCTATTACAACATCCTCACAGACTTCCCCTCCCTTCGGTCCCTTCCCAGCTGTGCCGCAGCACACGCACCGATTTCACAATGGCTGGGATTCCCCACTCCGTGCTCAGCAGTCTGTGGCTGTGCAGCTTCCCGCTGCTGTCAATGTGTCTGTCCAGGACGTCCACTCCGACCACGCTGGGGTTCATTGGGTTTGGGTATTTCTGCATGGCAGCTGTTGTTACAGTTTCCCAGGGATGACTGCCAAAACACAACCAAAGCACGAGGCTGAGCACCGCAGCGTTGTAACCGGAGTTCTATGCAAGCTGAACCCAACGCGGCAGTCGGGTCGTGCTTTTAAAGCAGTTCAATTTACGTCTCTTAACCGCAAACGTCCTTCTCTAGCAGGAAGCAGCGGTACAGCGGCGGGGCAGCGGCAGGTGGTGCGAACTGAGCACAGGGCACCTGGCTAACGGGGATCCTGAGACCCGTTACCTCCCGGTTTTAACGTGATAAGAACGCGTTCGCCGTGACATAACGCCGACAGACTTAAACTTCTCGGGTACTTGTCACAAGAAACGCGGGCTCAGCTGCCGCCAATCGGAGCGGTTTTTAAGCCCCGGATCTCCCGGGAGCGGCCCCAGCACAGCCCACGAGGGGCACGGAGCGGCCCCTGGAGGAGAGGCGGAGCCGCGGCCGCCCAGTCCGAGCTGGGACCGGCATCGAGCCGGCCGGGGCAGAGCGGCCCGGAGGCGGGGAAGCTCCTCCAATCCCCGACCGACGGAAAACGAGGAAGACGAGAAAAAAGGAGGAAGAAGCCGCCGCCCCGCTCCCTCTGCCACCCGCACCGGGCACTCACTCGAATACGTGCTCCGAGGTCCAGATCTTCATGGCGGCGGGCGCGGAGCGGCACTGCCGCGGCTCTCCAGGAGCGGAGCCCCTCCGTCACCCCGCGGTGCCGGGCCGCCGGCGGCAGCAGCGCCTGCGCAGCGTGGCCGGGTCGCGGCGGCGCCCAATCCCCGCGCGGCGCAGCGGTGACGCCGAGGTCGCGGAGCCCTTGGAGTCGCGCGGAGGGCGTCGGGCGCCGCCCCGCGTCCCGCTCGGTGCGCATGCGCGTGGCACGGCCGCGTCCCGAGCCTCGCCCAGCGGGCGCCGCCGGCACCACGTGGCACCGCGGGGCGCCCCGGGCGTTGCGCTTCCAGCAGCTTCGAAGTGACTTCTCCCGTATCGCCAACCGCAGCGGGCGGGGCGGCAGCTGCTGCGTTTCTTGAGCCGTTTCCCCCGGCGATCGGCGGCGTGGCTCAAGAGTACAACGCGGTGCCGTTCGTTAACCGAGAACTGACTTCTGGATGCATCTTAAAGCATTTCAGATCGTGCCGCTGTAGCTCGCTACGGCGCGTTTCACAGGCGCTGCCGTTTCCGCCCGGCCGGAATTCAGCAGCTGAAGGCGGTCCCGCCCCGCGCTCAGTGCCGCCGCCAGAGGGCGCAGCGGAGCCGCGCGGCAGCGCTGTTAGGTAACGGCGCGCGGCCGCCCCGTTTTGTAAGCGCGCGTGCCGCCCGCGAGCGCTTTCATAACGTCGGTACAGAAAGGTCTCTTCAGTGCTTTATGAATCAGCTCCTCATGCCTTGCAAGTCATCTGTACATCTCTGTCTGGACGAGTTGTACAAATTCTTATAAGTCCCAATCTTTGCAGAAAGGAAGCACAGCAGCATCTCAGTGTGGGTTGGAACCAATTCCAGTTTCAATTCTGAGTTCTGTTCAAGTTGTTTTGATCATTCTGGATTTCTGATTGGGATTAAAAGGAGACAGGACTGGGGAAATGTTACCATTCCACTATGTGTAACACTCTGCAAACGTTGTTGAAAATGAGGACACATTTGCCAGGTGAGAACTGAGCTCTAAGTACGCCACAAATTAGCATTCAGGTGATTCAGTGGAAAGCAGCCACCTTTTTTTCTCTTCAGAAAAACCATGGGGTGATGGTTTCTTTTTTCACCTGACATTCCACAGTATTCCAGTGACATTTCTTCTTCCTCCACCGGCACTGACTCAGTATCTGTTAGTATCATGCAATTCAGTTCAACCCAAAATAAAACACAGACCACTGTAAGACAACCAGGTGTCTGCATTTGTTTCCATATTTTTGCAATTAACCTGGAGTCTTCTTTTACCCTGTAGGATATTCTGTCTGCTCTTTTTCTCTCATGTGAAGAAAAATTGGACGATAGAAATAGCCAACAAATCTCTTTCCTCTCACTCCCCACGTTCTGGTAAAGATGGTGCCACGCTGCCTATGAAATGCAAATCAGAATTGTTACAGGTTATCATTTTACACATTTTCATTGTGCTGAGATTAATCACCACCTAAGAAGAGATGGAACAGCAGTAAGCATGCTAGCTGTCAGGGAAAACAAACAGGAATATATGTTATTATTCAGAAGAAAGGTTGATCTGATTTGTACATTCTGTGTGGAAAATCCACAAGAGGGGGCTCAATTTCCGTAAGGTTCTCCACAGGAAGACTTCATCAGAGGAAAGGACTCACCTCCTCACAAGCAAACTCACCTCCATGGGCCTGCATCCCTAAGCACTGCCCTGAGGAAGGGGGCAGATCTCTGATTCTCATCCCAAGCCCTCTCAGAAGGCTGCCCAGCCTCAAATCCAAAGAATGATTTTCTGCAGAAATAAACTGTTCCCCTGCTTCCATATTAAAATGGATGTAACAGAAATTCCTTGCTGGTAACAAAACAGAAAGATGCATTCAGTGCTTTTCCAGTACTTCAAAACTATGAGTGAAAACGTAACAGCAATAAAACATCCCCAGATAATAATAAGAGAGATTCCTTTTATATCCTCTAGGTAAAGCCTGGTTCATTAGGCAGAAAGTTAAACCTACAAAGAAGAGCTAACTTTCTGCAGGAGCCGTTTGCTGATTTTGCTGGTTATAGCAGCATAACTGATAGCCAAAAATTGGAGGAGACAGACACATACAGCCACAAACACTCCCTCTGACAACAGAATGATCTTAGGCTAGTTTAAATCATTTTGGAAAGTACAGCCCAAGTACCCTGCAGCTGTTCAGCAGGGTTTTACACCACAGAAACCTGCTGCCCCTTCAACACTGGTGTTCCATGCTGCCAGAGAAAGGTGAAAGGAAGGCAATGGGCAGTCTGATTTCTGACACAGGAAACATGAAAGAGCAGTAAACAGACGTGTATACACATCCAAATCTCCATTGTATCATCAGTACTGTTGCGAGAGAAGAAGGAGAAGAAACAAGTTTTCAGATAGCATGTATGTAGTTAACAATCTTCCAGCATCTTTGCGCATATTCACCTTCCGTATTTTCCTTGACCACAATGACAAGCAGAGATGTGAGACAGGCTGCAGGAATCCTGTCAGACTCCCAAGATTCAGAACCTCTGGTTGCCTGGCCAGAAAGTTTCCAAAGCACCTTTTTATGCCATGAATTTCAATCACATGTAAACCTATTCAATGGAAAGAAAGGACAGAAAAGTGCATTGCTCACTCAGCAGCATCAAACCCAGACGCATGCAATGTCATTCTCTGTGCTCTGTATATGGAGACATGTATACGTATTTTTGCAGAAATGAAATGCACTGAAGCACAAACCACAACACACAAGTGTGTCTCACACAGCTTTTCTTGTCTTTTGGGGAAATAAAAGATGACACAACAGGAAGAGTGTCTATAACATAAAAAAGGGAGAAAGAAACTTTGCTTTTGTGACTGAAACCAACAAGGAACTCTGTTCCACAGATTCATATGCAGATCCAGAAATTGTTTTCCAATAGGGATTGTATTACAAGGGTTATTTCTGGTGTTTCTTAACATGTATTATTTGTCTGTAACATCAAGCTTTGTGTGACTTATGTAGTAAAATTGTGGCCCTGTTCTGAAGTGTGGTGATACAGGCAGGGTCAGAAAGAGGGATGCAGTTTCTTAACAATACCATTGTACGTTTATTTCCTGTTTCGAAAAGGCCTTCATTTCCTTCTCAGACACATTTAGTCTGGTTCCAAAAATCATTTCTAGGCTCTAAAATAGCATATGATCTTGTGAAAGCCATCTGAGATTTATTTGTGGGAAGGAGGGAGTTTGGATCTGGACTGCCTCCATACTGATGTTTCCATTTACTCAAGAAAACAGTCAAATTACTAACACAGCAACATTATTTACTAGATTACATAAATTACTTCAACACGTTTTGCAGAGAGTCATTTAATCCCTCTGTATGGCTGACATCAAAGGAGCAGAACAGCAGCACATCCTCTCCCAAGGCAGCAGACCTCTGTCCGTTGTCCATCGCTTACAATGATTGTCAGCATTCTGAAGAGGTGCCTGGCCTGCAGAACAGCCAAGCTCAGCAGTAAGTCACACTGCTTCCCGTGCTCACTTTTTGCACACTGACAAACACTTCTGCTCTGCTCACCTCCTACACAAACACAACTCACAGCACTGCTGCCTGTGCCAGTAAGTTTATGTCAGGAAACCTAGAAAGGCAAAAAATGATATTTCACTAACACCAAATTTTTATCCAAAAAAATTTAGGTGCTGGGAACATAGTATGAGAAATATGTGACACATACCTATGAATCAACAGCTTCTCTGACTTGCTTAGATCAAAGAATTTGTTTCTGGCTATAGAAACAGTTGCATCCTGTCCGTATCATCAGTGGGAGCAGCAGCTGCCACCAGGTGTTTGACTGAAGAGCAGATACACAGCAGTGCACAGTTTTTGTGGATGTACCACAGCTCTCCTGTTGTCTAGGAAACAGTCTCTTGGAATCTGTATAATATGACAATTACCAGCTAGACAATGTTTCTTCTTGCAAGCATCACAAATGTGCATGTGATCAAGTAGGCAGATGATAATCACGTTATCACCCACAACTCATGAGCAAGCACAATAACAGCACAATTAAAGATAGAACGTTTTAAAGTACTTTAAAACTTCAGATTGTTTGGAAATAATCGTGCTTCTTCCCTGTATCTCATCCTTGTTTAATCCTAAAGACCACAACATCTCTCATAAAAGCACACCAGGCTATTAAACATGTGATGAATGCAAAGGTCCAATGTAAAACCTCGAAGAACCAGTAGTGATCACGACATATTACATGTTAAATCACAAATATGGAGCTATACCTGTACCCACGGTCTTCAGACCATGCTCTTTTATCCAAAGTGCACATAAAACTCTGGCTCAGACATCTTGTACCCGATCAGGTTTAAAGAAACCACAACCTGAAATAAAAGCTGAGAATTCTTCGTACGCTTTCAGTTATACTGAAATGAAGCTGTCCAGGAAGCTGACTGCAACTTAATGCTTCAGCAAAGGCAACAATTAAAGGAATAAATAAGAAATGTAAATGAAACAAGAAGTTAAATCCAAAGCACAAAGCAGCAAACTTACTTTTGTGTGAATGAGCCAACTTCAATGAGTGCCATTCACCTCCCAGGAATGTTAAGTTCTCTGTTATCTGCAGTGAGTCCAAGACATAATAACCACAGAGTGAAAAATATAAAGGAATTGCATAAATATTTGTACAAAGTAGGCACAGCAATGACTAGTATTCTCACAGAGCAATCATTTAATTTTTTTTCAAATCTAGTTCTTGCATTGCATTCATTTATATATTTTCTTACTAGCTGCCTCAATTTATTATTTTGCTCTAAACTGAAGATTCTATTAAGAAATCTTTTACATTGCTGCACAAGTAGTTAATATCCACTTCAGTTTTACAGCTCTAAGTCAGTAGGAAATACATTGTTGTCAGCAAGATGATGACAGATAAGGCAAAACTGGAGTTCTTGGCTGATGTCAGTGTGTGGTTTTAATGCTCAGAAAGAAGAATTGCTCTATTATATATTTGGTGGCTAATTCAGGGGATGCAGTACTCTGCAATACATTAAATACTGTAAATCAATAATTACTAGGAACTGAAGTCTATAAACAGGTAAAATGAAGCAAGTAGGAGCTACAGCTGCTTTTCTTTTTAATCAAGATACGAATACCATGTGCCTTCTAAATAAGGGACTCCCAAATGTGCGATGGTATGGGTGCCATAGGAACAGAAAAAACAAATACTGCCTGAACAGCTGAATGCTTCCCTGTGCATATGGGCCCAAACAACCAGCGATGGGATCAGCAGCCGTGGTGAGGTCTGAGTAAAAAATGGTATTAATAAGAAACACAAAGCTTCAGTAAACGCAGAACCTTGAGACATGCTGAGATAAAGAAGTAAAGACAGAAAAAAAAACGCACCATAATTCAGTTATTTCCAAATCAGTGTTTGTTACTGGTATAAACATGTATTTCAGTGTACCACACAGATCTGACTCCCTACTGAAATGCTCAGAATTTAAGGAGCACTTTCAAAAGGATATGGACACACATATAAGGGATCTGAACAGATTTAAACAAAAACAAGATAACAAGTGCCTGAAAGAGAGCCCCTTCTTCAGGAAAGTGAGGGCGAATATTCAGTTCAATAATTACTCCCATGATTATTCAAATAATCATGAGGAACACAGACATGAAAAATGTTCACAATTAGGACTCAGGCAAACCTCAGCTGCTGGATCCATTCATTTTTCAGAGCCAGAAAGGAATTCCTACCTCACTAGCTGCAGGCCTCAATAGGGCTTTCTGGAACACTTTCACATTTCCCAGGAGGGGATGTTATCAGCGCATGAAACTGGAAGCACAGACAAAGCAAAGATAAGCAAAGACAGAGCAAAGACAAGCACTCCACATCTGCTTCTTTCTGTACAACATTTAGTGCTCACTCAGTGCATTACCACTGGTGGGACTGGGTGGTGGCATCCTCCCACCAGGCACTTCCCACATGCTGAGACAAGGGCTGATTTGCCCTGACCTGCAAGTCCTTGATAAGGGATCAGGATTTACATCTCCTGTGGAAAATGACGTTCTGAGCCAGGAGCCAGGAGCATCAACCAGCTCTACACAGGGCTGAAGCCTATGGAGATCACTGCAGGCCTCTGCACATCTCAGAGATGGAAGTAACCAGGTGTTTTGTCCCATTCAGCACGGTATGACATGAAGGTCTTGGTCTTGTAGTTGCAACAGTAGTTGTAACATTCATTCAATAAATTACAGGACTTTTGTTAGTTAATCAGAATAAGTAATATGGAGACCTCCGAGATTTGTTTTTTGTGGTAAGCAAAGAGATTTAATAAGGAGCAGTTTTTGCAAGATATTGTAGCCCTGAAGGTGCAACATATATGATTTTTTTAAAAATTATTTACATTTTTCAAATTTGCAATGTTATGGACAGTATGGAGTGAAACAGCTGGGGGTTTTTTTGGTTTATTTTTTGGAGGGTGTATGGGAACCACTGAGTCACGGCCTGAACCTCTGATTGATCACCTGAGGCGAGCCATGAGCCAGCCAGAGCAGCACAGCTGAAGGCAATTCTCCTGTGCTGCAGGAAGGGGGGGAGCCTGGCTGCACCCCTCCTAGACCTATTTAAGAGCTGGCTGCCAGTGAGGAAGGATCTCTTCTGGAGATGGCCTCTATGGGTGTTTTGTGGTGAGCCCAGCATAAGGGTAAGCCTTCTATTTATTCTCTTTTGTTATCATTGTCCACTTTGCCCAACTCTCTTGATTATATTGTGATTGTAACATCTTGATGTCCATTGATTATACAGAGGGGGGGAGGGAAAGTGAGAGGAATACAAGAAATGAACTCACAGTTCCAGTTTGCTGCCTTTTTGGGGGGAGTTTTGATGGACTGTTTAAGAACGCCATCTTCCCTAGTTTGGTTTAGGGACGCAAAAGTGTGTAAGGAGTCAAACTGATGCCAAATTAGAAGTTGCTCCAATTAAATGATATGAATATTGTTGAGGCGTCATTGCATCATTGGCCTTATGAGAAAAATCAGACTAATTTCAAAACCAACATTTTCTACGTTGTTTTTCTGTTTCCCTTGAAGCTCAGCAGAGGCACCTGAATTTCAGCGAAGAATTCATTACAGTTACCTGTTTTCATTATACGTGTTCAAATCCTCTCTGGAGTTGATATCTTTTCAGTTTTTCAGTGTTAGGAAATATTCCCATTACAAGCTGTAATAACTGCAAGGAAAAGAGGCAGCGTATCACCTTCCTGGTACAGATAATTATGATTAAAATCAGATGAAAGATAAAGAGATGAAAGATGAAGTTAAAGAAGGGCACACTTAGGCTTCTTGAATTACAGTAATTAAAAGGTATAATTAATATAATTGGCCAGGAAGCTATTTACAACTGACAAGTGAAATGATGAATGACCACAAACTCAAGTAAAAACTTATAATCATGTCACAGATTTTTAAATGGTTTTATTCCAAAAATTAAGAAATGATGCTTGCAGAACACTAGTGAAATATGCAGTATGTATGTGTATATATGAAGTATGTCAGATGTTATGAATACAGAAAGGTTGAGATTTTCTCAGAGCTCTAAGGGCTCAAAACCCATTAGGAATAAGCCTAAGATCAGGATCTAAGATGGCTTTCCCAAGACAAAAGAATGGTTCAGCAGGGGTTAACATTTCAGAATTCACAGTTCCCAGTTCAGCCAACTAAGTCACATTTTCTCACTGAATTTTCCGCCTTTCCTTTCCATGCACACAGGAAGGATGTGTCCTTGCACTCATCGTATAGCTTAAGAATCTGCTTTCCCAAAGTAGTTTTACAAATGATTGGAAGGTTGGATAGTCCATCTTATTCCAGTTTTTTGCACATGCTAAGATTTGGACAGGTCGGTTACTGCCTCAAGGGCACTGTTCATACATTTTGTTTTAATGCTGTTTTTAACATGGGGCAACCTTGAGGTGTTCAGTAAATTGCTGAACACTTCAGAGACTTCGTTGTTACTGAAATTAATCCTGAAATTATAGTTTAATAACATATCTTTACAAACACAATAATTGAAATGTGTAACGTGGACAGCAGTTAAGATGTCTGTTTCCATAACAGCACACAGCACCAGAAAGGCCTGCAATGACACAGGATACTGTTTCTATGGTAATACTGTTTCTTTGCCTCAAGGATGCAAGAAAATCCATGATGAAAAGCAGGAACTTTTTAGGTTAATGGGAATTCCTTGTTTATAGTGCTCAGCATCTAGCTCCTTTCTGTCACATCTTTCTTATATCAGCTTGTAACTACTTTTAGGTTGGAGACCCTCTTTAGCTTGTTTTCTTAAAAAGATTCAGGAACATGGGAAAAGCACACAGAATTGAGAGTCCCAGTATAGCTAGGAACTGGTATTACTTAGAAGGGCATAACTCACTTTTTCTGAAGACTGAAACTCCTAGATAGTCTGCCTGTGTGTACATTCCTACCATGCTGAAATTGTTACCATGCCGCCTTCTCACACTTTTTATGTATTTGTTACACTCTACCTACCTGTCTGAAGTGATTACAATGCACCATAAATGTGCATTCTGTACCTTTGCCTTTCTTACTTTCCAGCATCAAATTCCTCCCGTCCTCATCCTCAGCACACCATGTCCTGTATCCCCTCACCAGGAGGCATCCCCACTCTCACTGACTGGCTGGGCACCAGGCTGAACAGAACTGAATCCATCACACACAGCTCCTACCAGCAGTGCCACCACTCTGGGTTTCTGCACTCTCAGAGTGGATGTGGTGGATCATCTCCCCAACCTGCTGGCCACTCTTATTAATGAGCCCCGATGGCCTCCTTAGCCACAAGGGCACACTGCTGGCTCGTGCTGCTGGTATCCCAGGTATGTTAGATATTTGCATGTAAAATTTCTCCCAGTTTATTCTGGCGGTCAAATTTACAGAAGTTCAGAAATATGTGAAATGTTGGGGTCAACACCTTGAAAATTCACAATAGGACTTCTATCAGAAGGTTCCTATCAGAAATCGGAGCAACTGGAAAGACTATTTTCAGTAATTTCAGCTTGTATTTTGTGCCAAACAGGTGTTTGGAAATTCAGCCAGTGCCAGATAGATGGTCATTAGACATGATCAGGGAAACTTCAATGAAATTATAATGGTTGCATTTCAATATAGTTATGGAGGGAATATTAAGCAACTAGTAACAAAATAAGCAAAACCTCCACAGTTTTGCATATACCTTATTAATGTATGTAGAAAACTACATTTAAATATAACAAGAGATTGCCCATCCCTGTTGAGAACTCAATGACTTAAACTGGAGTACCACGTGTAGAGCCTGAGGTTGGATGCTGGAGAGTTTTCTCAGCATGTATCCAGTATTTCAGGACAAGGGGACGCTCAGCATTAGTAGCTGAAGAACTGCTGATACAGTTCTGGTGTCTGCTGTTGAAAATTGGAGCCATTAATGGTGCCAACAAATTAAAAAAAATTAAGGTAATCCAATTACCGCTATTTTAAAACACTAAGGTTCCTTTGTAGCTATGGAAACAAAAATGCAGACATTAATGAGTCAGGGGGAAAAAACTGGTGTTTCCTTGACAACAGGAAAAAAGCACAGCTCCATGAAACCCATCGGGGGCAATGACAGGAATACCTTTAACCACGATCCACAAGTGAAATGCACGTCCATTGCCACGACATGCACCACTGGGAAGGGTGGAAGTACTCTGCCAGGAAGACACAACTAAGAAAGAACGGCTTGAACAGCATCATGTCAGCAGTAAGTGCCACACCTGAGACAGATCAGCTCTTTGCAGTGTGGATGTGACTACTGCACTCTAGAGAAAAGTAGCCCTGGGCTGAGCAGACACTGATTCACATTCGAGTGCTGAAGAACTTGGAGTTCCTTGGAGTGCACCATAAATTGTGTGTGAATGTAGTATCTCCTATCCCAACAAAAAGGCATATAAAAATTATAAAGAAAGGTAAGTTTATGGCACAGGAAGGGATACAAGTAGTGTCAAACCTTATTATCACTGGTAGCCTCCCAGATTTTTGCTAGAGGAATATAGAATTGCTCAAAGACAACAAAATATAAGAGGAATTGTGACAGAGGTAAATAAAAGGTCAAGTTAATTGGCAAACCCTGATGTTTTGGTAGAAACAAACCTTTAAAAAGAGGTTTTTCTCTGAACCTATCAAACTTATATTACAGAAGAATCATTTCATACTGGAAAGTACATCAATCAATCCAACATCCTAAACTGTTCTGTGTTTATAGCAATAAAGAGCTGGATACTGAGCTACAAGAACGTAGGGCTTCCTTGACAACACGCTGAGAAAAAACACAACTACATAAAAGCTTATGGAGAAAATAAGAAAAAATATAGTTGAGTTGGCTGAATGGTGTGGAACGTGGATTTAGCCATGTGAGTGGTACTGGGCTGGAATCAGTGATGTGCCTCTACAGTTCTGGTTACTGATGTTCTCCTTCGTTGTTTCTGACATTGATCTGAAAGTTGATTTTAGTGATGGATGACCCTGTCAAATTCCAGTCTCGTTTTCTGCAAAGTACATTTAAGTTAATGTAGCTGTTGGTTTTTAGAACATTTCTGAATACCATCAGCAGTTCTGAAGTTATCTGTTTTCTGTGACAAACAAGAAACAGATGGAGGAATTGGTATGAGTAGTCTGTGCATATGTAAAAAAAAAACTAACCTTCCTGACTTTCTGAGTTGAAGCAACTGTTCCTCTGAAAGCTACATGGCTTTTAAGCACATCATAATTATAATTAATCATTTTTATGATGTGATATGCCTGAAAATACTATAGCTCATTATTCCAGCAATCTGAAAAACCTGGAAAGATTCTTCATACTCCTCCTGCAAGACATTTATTTTGTAGAAGACGCAGCTTTAATGTCCTCCTCTTTTTACCCTTTCAGCTCTCAGCAAAAGAATGACTTGAGCACAGAGGAGTAAACGAAGCTCTCTTCATTCCCACCCTGTCTTCAGGTGCGTTAGGACCAATTCTCAACTCACTGACCTGTTGTCTCTCAGTTTTAAGTTTTGTTTTGGGGTTGTGGAATATCCTTATGAATTAATGCCTAAATCAATCATTTGCCAGAACTGCTCATGCTGAATTAATACTGAAAATATATAAACCAAGTGGAGCCCCAGATCAACCCTGTGTGATGATTCGGCACTTACAACCTTAGCTAAAGCACATTACATATAATTTTATACAAAATAAGGTCTGTAACTTTTAATGGGAGACAGCTTGAGGCTACAACTAGCCTGTATATGTATGCACTCAGGTGAGTGTCTACATGCACAACCCTGCTGTTGAGGTATGGAAAAACTATGAGCGCTTTAAAGCAGAAATTCAATAGCAAAACACTTTGGTTACATGAATAGTCAGCTACACTTTGGTCCTGATTGCCTCAGCGTTTTCTCAGCAGCCCTTGACTCTCTTCCCTATGGGACCTATTACTTATGCCTTGTGTTTTAGTTCTTTTCCCTGTACTGGCATTTCTTTGGCAAGTAGAGCCACGTTTGCTTCTAATGAAAGTGCCTCTCCCTTTTGCTGTTCAAGCACATTTTTGTCTTCTAGCTCTTTTCTCCTGGACTTCTATTTTTTTTTTTTTTTTTTTTTTGGCCTGACATGTGTGAGGGATACACTCATGTTTAGGGTGGCAGCTTTTGCTGTCCAGCAAAAACATACAGAAGTGCCACACGACCACCAGTAGCCATTATTCATTACTGACATTGGAGTCATAATTAGCTCTCCAATTTACTGGAATGCCCTGATTGATCTTGCTTTCAATTTTTTTTGTTATGAGCTAATGTTTCCAAATTTTTAATACTTGCTTTAAGAGATTCTATCAATTTATAGAGCTGTGTTCTGTGGGGAAATATAGCATGTTAAGTACCTAAGTGTACTCCAAGTGCACCTGTGGTCAAATAGAAGCTATGTAGGCAATCATGTTCTGTACATTCAAACTTAAGAGTTCACACGTATAAACACTGCTGTATGTGCTGATAGAATTATTATATAATAATTGTTCATGTGGGTTAGTCCTGAGAAGAGGACTAGGTGCATTCAGACATTTGAGATGTCACTTTATCTGCAGCACAGTGGCTGATGATACCATGGCAGAAAAGATAAATGCCACAGTGGCATGGAAATAGAAGCACTACAGCTGACAGTCAGCACAGTGTCCATGACATACAAAGTGAGCAGTGTGTACCTGTCAGAGATACTGCTTCAAGCACTGCATTTTGTTGCTACTCTTTCAAACTGCCGTGGAAGTTACAATCAATGCTTTTTTTTATTTAAAAAAAGCAAGATTTAAAGGACTCATGAATAATGCACCCCGTCTGTCTGACCACAAGTGTTCTCATGGAGCATGCAGTGCACATAATTAACTTACAGTTTAGAGGAAGTCACCAGAACTGAAGCAGATAAAAACCTGTCTTTTACTTATTTACACACAAAAAATCACAGTGCTAGGAAAATTACCAGTTTTACTGAATTGATTCAAGCAATTTCAGTCAGCATTCTACATCGTGCTGTACAGTTGTATTCAGTCTGCATGGCTGTAACAGTGCTAGGAGCCATATTTCTATTCCCCCTAACCATGTGCTTTTTGAGACCACAGACATTTCTCTAGCAAAATTTACTGGAGCTGACCTCAGCCTGTAGTTTATACAAGAAGAAAAGACTCAAGCTCCTACTATGGCTAGTGTCCAGACCCCACTTAATACCCCATCAGCCTGTACTTGTGTGGATTAACAGTAACATCCCTCTGACAGTTTTACCAGATAGATTTAGAAATGAAGATCTTTTTTCATTCACTGTAGTGTGATTCATTGTTTAACTACCTTCTACTTGTTAAAGGTTGGAATTAGTAGCCTGAAGTGCTCGAGTTCAGTCGTGCTGCCTCTACTCACACACTGAATTCTGCTGATTTGGTATTCAGCTCTGGATCCTCTGTGACCAGGATGGGGTGAAGAACTGTCGGTGACACTGTGCACTATATAGCACTGTGGGGATCCCCTCCTTGCCATCCTGCTTTGCCCAGGTGTCTGGTAGTCTTGCTCTTTAATGGCAACAAAATACCCAAATGCACCCGTTTGATTTGGGATTCATTTGAATATTAAAAGAACACACATCTGAAACACTGCACTAAAGAATGCGTATGTTCTGGGTACAAGCACACAATTTCCAGTCTAGATGCCTTCTCCCATACATACATGAAGAAATGCATTTAACGAGTTCTAGTCCCTTACTGCCATGGAGCTGATGAGTCACAGAGGTTCCCTGAAATTTTCAAACTCCTTTCTATAACTGTTCTGTTTCTGTTTCGTTTTTGGGGGTCAACAATGCTCCTGTTAATTGCTCTCACTCATCTCACAGAAAATTTCCCCATCCTTCCCAACAATGGTTTGTTCATACCCACTTACATTCATTCCCACTGGTGCCAGCAATTGTGTTTTAGCTTAAATAGCATTTTCCTCTACTTCCCCATGGTATTATAGAGAACAATCCCTTTGCCTCCTTGCTGTTGGCCTCCTTTTTGTTCTGTACTTACACCAAACATTCAAATTGTTTTCTGTCTGATTTGGATTTGGGTCAGCAAGCCTGATACATTGCAAGAGTACTGAACAAAAATGGGTTGCCAGAACATCCCTTTTTGTCTTGGCTGTGTTTTGTGGAATATTTAAGGCAACTATCATGGCTTAAAACACCCTGCCTTTCTGGCTGTGGGGCAGCTGCTGTGTCTATTGCCCCATTCTGCTTGGTGCTACCAGGATCCAGCAGAGGCGGAAATACAGGCATGCTTTGGAGACCTTTACTGTGGGACCTCGGACACCTTTTGGAATACGGACTCTTCTTGGTTAATCAAAATTCAGCAGCAAAAATGATAACAAAATGTTCACACTACTTCAAACAAAAAAGCCTTCTTTAAATACTTAATTTACCTTTTTTTATTTTAAAGGTCGAGGAGAAAACCTGACTGGGTTAAATCTATTCAATTGAAAAAAAAACCAAAAACACGAAAACCAACAACTCCAACTCAGAACAAGAGAAATAAAGTAACCATTTTTCATTTGTTCCTGATGGGTTTGTGCACGGGTTTTTTTTTTTAAACTGTTTGCAAATCTTCAGTGTAATGGTTTGAAACCCAGTCGTGTCATTTCTTTACGCCCACACACAGAGCTGCAGTAGTGCAGACACTGTAGCAGGCAAACCATATTTCCAGCATCGGCCATTAAAACTCTTCCCACCCCAGGCTGGGCTGCCTTCGCCCCCTCCCCAGCACCCACCCTTCCATTTCAAATGCTTAAAAAAAAGAGAAGAGAAAGACACTGAAAAAAGGAAACAGGATGCTGCTTTTGTTCCAACGCTATTCCAGGGAGACCTGAACCTCTCCACCTGCCTGTGAATTGGCCACCTAAAGGTTAGCAAGTGTTTTGTTATCATTCTGTATCGACAGAGATTAATTAAGTTCTGGGTGTTGTGAGATATATTTTTAAGTTATTAATGTAATGGTTCTTTCACTTAGGAACGAGGAGGATTTTTTACTAAAGCAGAAAGCCTTTCATTTTAGTCCTGGCCCCACTTCTGTTTTTAAGGGGATTTAATCAGTATTTTTTTTATCATTTAGCCCAACCTTCTAAACTTTAAAAGATGGATAAGGGTTATTATTTTTCTGTTAGAACAACCTGTTGATTACAGACTGCTGGCTGGAGGTTAACTCTTTATTCACCAGAGAAATAATGCACAGGAGCAAATGTGATAAAAGGATGAAAGAATGGAAATCCTCTGAGGTTTTTAGGGCTTTTTTTTTTAAGCACTAACAATTTTTTTTTTTTCCATTGTGAAGTCACCAACAGTGTTACAAAACCAACAGATGGCTTAGATTTGATTGCTTACTTTTAAGCAAGCAGTGGTACAGATTTGAAATAAAGACATAATAAACTGGAAAGCGTTTCTTGTTACTGGAACTGGGCAGAGTAGAAACATGAGAAGTAGAACAGGAAATATTCACTGATACTAATTGTATGGAGAGCTCAAAACGGCCAGAATAACATCTAGTTAACATCTATACATTAAAATTCTAGCTGACTGTTATTATCAATGTCAGCCTTTTGAAATACAGAAAACCATATATTTAATAATGATCAGAACAGTCAGTGCTATTTCAGAATGAAGAAAAGGTGCTGCAGATCACATTCTTCTTAAAAGGCTTCAACACCATATTCTGTGTTTAACAAAACATGTAAAAAGCTGATTTAAGATAGTGGAGTAAAGTGTCAAAAATGTTTGTCCACAAGAAATAGCACCAGACCTTCAAAGTTCAATGAGGGTGTTCTCTAGGTGCTTTGTACTCTTATAGCAGACAAAGCAGGGCAAAACTTCAGGAATAATTATTTCTTAATGAGCAGCAAGATTTCCAAAAGTCAGAATTTGAGTAAGAAATGATTTAAGATTATGGCAGTTTCAGAATATCAGGAAATTACACATTTTCATCCTAATTCTGCATGGAACTGAGGCTCCCTACTTTGTCAATAAAGTTATACACAGCTTGCATGCTGCTTGTACAGCTTGCAGTCCTGTGAGATCAGAGACATCCCTTAAAAACAAGTGAAAAGGTGAAGTCAGAACTCCTGTTATGAGACACTTTGAGGTATGAAGTCAAACTGAGAAAAGAATAAAGGCAGGAAGCAGTTTTCAAGTGAGCCAAACAGGATTTCATTTCTGTGCTAATCAGAAAAGGTATCAGTTCCATTTGCAAATCTGAATTGAGATCTAGAAAGCTCCAGCATTAGGGTGAACTCATAAACATTTATTTTCCATTAAAGTAGCAGTGTTTGATGTACCTGCATGAAGCTTCTTTCTGGCTCTATAGTTCACTATTACTTCATTATATTTGTATTTAAATAGTTTGCCTAGTCAACTACGAGAGCTCTTCATCAACACTGATACCTCCTGCTAGCCATCCGTGGTAACCTAGCAGCTGGAAATGATAATAACAGTATCTGTATCTTATACACAGATACCGTGTGCTGTTCTCAGCATTATTGTCTTCACAAGGAAAATTAACAATTTTTAAGACACTTTGCTTCTTTTAACCTTTAAAACATGGCTGATAGGGTCTTTGTAGTCTATTAGCTCATTACTATCGGAAGCAGGCTTACCGCCACTTCCACTTCATCACGGCTCTGACCAAAATCCTGCAGGTGTCTTTGACTGGTGCAGGGTATAAATGGCTGGGAAGAAGCCCCTTTCCACACATTCTTGGAACTTTAAACAGATGGCAACAGTATGTGGATTTATCTCATCCATTCCTGATTAAGGCTAGAATTAAGCATGAAATGAGTTTGTGAGCACCACGTACACCCTGCCCTGCCCCTGACAGCAGGCTTATCCTTGTACATAGCTGAACTAGCTGCTTTGCTGTATATTGGCAAGTGAAATTAAGTGGGTTTCCTTGAGCAGGTTAACAGTTTGAACTTAAATGAACAGAAGTGATCTTGCACAGAAATTCTGAGTTAGTAACGCCTACAGAGAGTGGCTAAAATAGAAAACAGAAATAATCAGTTTTAAATTAATTTCAAATAGAATTAATGTAGTACGATACAAGTTGTCAGCAAGCATTCAGTTGACACTTGTAGCCATCAGAGCAGTCTGTTCACTCATACACATGGGGATCATCACACTGGTGGCATCACTCTGATTCCAGGCTCAGTACAAGGGTTAGGAATATCAGACCAAGCTTCAAAAGTCTCTGCTAAGCCCTGAAACCATATCATAGGTGCTGAATTCAGTCAGCCACTTGCTTTAGTTGTAACTTGCTACATTTAACTATTTCTTTTTGGACGCAGGATAACAAGTTTTCAAGTTTACCATTTAGAATTTGATACTCTAGTGTGCAAAAGAATTAATTTTAAGAGCTTTTATGTTTTAGAGTCCTTACTAATTCCAGCACATTGCTGCAATTATTAGCACTGTCTAAAATAAGCTTCCTTTTTAAGTAAGTTCACCTCAGCTTAAAGTGACAGGCAGATTCACAGTGGAATAGAATATAACTGGTTCCATATATGCAATAAAACTGAAGAGATGTTCAGTTTTATAAAAAATGCCTGTGATCAATTATTTGTATACATTCCTGCCAGGGTTCTGTTGTAAGAAGTGCAATGTTTTGACTCTGATGGTTTGTTGGCAGTAGCAGGCAGTAACCCTCCTGTGTGAGAATCCATTGCTTTAGCAACATGTCTCCCAGCAGAGCTGACACCAGTTGCTGCATTCAGTCCCCTCTATCCGTATACAGTGTGGGTCTTTGTAAAGCAGTGCACAATGCCAAATAGTTTTATAGAGTCACTGATTTTAAGCATTTACATTAGCATGACCAGGACCAACCCGGTGTATGATGGAAACAAATAGGCTCTTAGGCAACAATACTAGGCCCTGCTAACCACATAACTAAAAGACAGGCAAGAAAGATAGGAAGATTAAGACAGACATATTTTTCTGCCATCAGTGTTGGAGGTCTATTAAAATAGAATCCAGAAAAGAACCAAAAATACCCAAACAACAGGCAAAACTTCCTGAGATCAATAGAGCTGTGTAGAATGAAATCCATTTACATCTCCAGCATTGGCCTATTAACCAAATTACTAAAAGAAAGAGCTTCTGCTAGAATGGATGTTGGATAAACAATCATAAATATTACAGTTTCACCCCTGTCCAATCCACACCAGTAGGCTGCGGCTAATTGGATTTGGTGCATGCTTACTAAGTTATGAACAGATTAAACACCACATCTTCCAAAAGAGCTCCTAATGAAATTTTACAGGTCAGATATGCCTATGTTGTAAAATTATTGGGCATGAATCTTGCCCGTTGTAGACTGGGCTTTACTCAGTGTAACAGCAGCAGAAGCTGTAGCCATTTCAATGCATGCACGTAAGGAACAGCTCTCCTCCTCGCTGGTCACCCCGGCTGACCGTTCTGTTTGAGGACTTTTACCAAAGTTAACCCACAGACAGTTTAAATTCTCCAAATGATCTTTTCATTTCTCTTGACTGCATCCTATCCTTCTTTCACTACAGCTTTTCACAGGTTTTGGACAGGCATGCTGAGAAAGCCCCAAACACTTCTAACGTCCTTGCAGCTTTTGCCTGCTGGTTACCACCCTGCTGCAGGCACCACTGGGAGCTGCTGGGATAATGCCCTCCCTGATGGGTTTAGCTTTTCCTGAACAGAAAGTAGCTTCTCTCCTCCATTGCTTCCTTTTTCAACACATTTTGAGATATCTTTACTTTAAAGTTACAGGCAAATTACCTTTAGGGAGACAAAGAAAAATTTCTACCTTTGTGCCAGCCTTTTTCACTGAGTGCTGCCACTGAAAGCAGTGTACCAAATGCCTGTACTCAGAGGCAGCTGCTTCTGTTTATGGGCTTCTGTGTGAATAAAGGATAAGAGCAGATTGAAACGCTACTTCATTTTCTTTTGCTTCATCTCTTCCTGTTTTGTGAAGGTTGTTTCTGTGACACCGATGTAAAAAAAATACTTCCTACTTCTAATCTGTTTCAAGTCTTTGTCCTTGTTTCTCTCTGCTTGTCTGAAGTACTGACAGACGTGAGACTTCTTTTGCTGAAATGTGAGCCTCAATAACAGGTATGTAAGCTAAAATTATTTACAAACTAAAGAGGATTCCTCTTCTATATGCCATATGATATTATATTTAAAGTAGGGATCACCAGAAGTTCTAAAAAATGCAAAGATTCCTAGGGTAGTGCAGTGCATTGTTTGTTCAGGGAGTTGAAAAGCTACATCTGTATGGTAAAAAAAGAACCTGAGTATTACACCTACAGACTGTACCTGCAGACCGGGCCCAGGGAGTAGCACTGCATCTGGATTTAAGGATTATAATGTTAATTATGAAGAAGTGACATACAGGCACAGGGAATAAGCAGTTACAAGTTCATTTAATGTTCCTGACTCTGACGGACAACTGGCAGTGTGTGTGTGCCATGCAGATAAGAAACATCACTTGGTTGCACAATTCAAGATTATTATAACACTGCTGATAAAAAGAAGCAAGTTTTATCAACTATATTTGGAATTAGGAAAAAAAAAATACAGAAATAGGGAACACATATATTTAGTCTTTTTTTTCTACCAGTTAGCAGAATAAAACAGGTTCTGTTCTGTTGATTTGTCATATGAAAACACTCCGGTTTTTAGCTTTGTAGTGTTCCAGGCCCACCTACAGTGCATACCTGAAAGTACAGTTCAAACTAGAGACAAAATAATTGCATTTAATTGAGTTTTCTTGACAAGTTTTGATAGCTCAAGAAATTAATTTTTTCAATTTTGGGCATACGAAATCCTACACTTAGTTTTGCTTATTGAAAACATTTATTTATCTCAGGATGATCAGGATTTGGTACTGGTAGCTCCACGCTACAAGCCACAAATGGAGCTCAGATGGTTGTGTAGGAGCCGCCCAGTAACAGTCTGGAGGATAATCAGCAAAGGAAGTTTTCCTGCTTTAAGCAAGGAGTGTTGAGAATCAGTGCTGGGGTATAATTAAGCTGAGATAAGCTATTTTTATCAGTGTACAAAGAAGTACAGTAACTTCTGCATATAAACAACAGATGTGAAAAATGCCATTTTTCAGAATACAGATTGCTGCAGAGAATATGTTTGTAGGGAGTACAAGCCACAGAGGTATATTTTGTTTGCTGTAGACTGCAGCAAACTTCCATTGCTGGTTGAAATGTATTATAAAATTGTATTATAAATGTATTATAAAACTCTTAAAACTATTCTGCAAGCACTTGGGTATTTTCCTCATAGAATATTACAGAACACTGAAAAGATTTATGGGATTACACTGTTTATGGAGCCTCAGAAAACTGAACAGTTTGAGCGAAATTACACAGATTCTGATACTTGGAACTAGAGGATAAATACTAAAAACAACTTTCCATTACAAGTCCTACTAATTTCCAGTCTGGCCTCACAGTGACGATCAGCTGTGCAGGCACAGGAGGATATTCAAAGAGGGATAAGTTTGTGGCTCTGGAGGAGGCTTAATGGGGTGGAAACATGAATTCCAGACTTTCACATTTCTCCAGGGGAGCACAGACACTGTGATCTGTTTTGTCTGATGTGGTTTACTTGTTAGATCTTCTAGCTATACATTATTCACTTTTCTTCGAGTCCTGTCTATATAACATCCTTGGCAGAACTACTGCAGGCCTAGTTTATGAATGCCAATGACTCATGTTGTATTACTTGCTGCTGTCTTTGTTAAGTACAGTTGCAATTTATCTGCACTGAGCAGATAAAGCTTGCATACTATTATACATTTTGCAGCAAATATTAGACTTTATTTCTATACAGTACCTGGTATTTCATGGGTTGTGCCATCACAGCTCCTACCAGTCAGCCAAGTTCACAGTATGTAAGTGCCTACATATGAAAGCAGTTTAGGAACCTAGAAGGGATGTGAAATGTCTACCACCTCATTTTGCAAATTAGAGCAATCTATTGTAGGGTTAACTGCAGTGCAGAATATGGATAATAAATTAATTCCACTAATAAGCCATAATCTTGTAACATCCTTATGAATACAGTCAACAACTTTATTATAAAGCAGCTATGTGGACAAGAATATTATTTATTATGTTTTATTACAAAGCAGCAGGGAGCGGACAAGAAAACTGCAGACCTGATATGTTGAATTTGATTCACAAAATTGACGAGAAAGAAGAAAAGATTGTTTCCAGAAGGAAAGTCAGAAAGCACATCCCCACATCCCAGGGACTGCATTGCTGTCTTTTCCTTCACTTTTCCAATTCTTGCAGTAAGCAAAGCGTATTGGAAAGAAAAAGGAAGAAGCTTTGGCAGTGAAGCAAGGGTTGCCAGTCAGCAGGGACTCTCCAGATGTGGTGTAGAATTAGAAGAGTGCAGGATTAGGCACCAGGTATACTGGATTTTCAAGACAAGTACTTGCAGTTGCATTGTGAGCTACGCATAGGGATGACATAATCAAAGGGATGAAAGGTAATTTTCTATAACACAAAACCTTTACATTTACAAAGGATTGCTGAGAGCATTGCTTTATCGTCCTGTTTCAATGGTGCATATATTTCATACGCAAAGCACCTGAATTCTTAGTCTATTTATTAAGGTGCTAAATAGATTTATCACTGAGCATATAACCCATTGACCTTTATCTATTCCACTTGATAATTAATAGAAAATTATTTTCCCATTATTTCATGTGGTGTGAGGTGCTGCCATTTTCATCCAGCTATCAATGTACCATCTCTTCAAGAGATCAAACAGTAAATGAGGAATACTTGAAAACAATTGTACGGAGTTTTCCATTTCTACTTTATATGAATCATTTGGAAAGTTCCCAGCAACTGCATGCAAAGGAGATTTTGTTTTGAACAATGCTAACATACTGTGTGCCATATGGCACTAATGAAAGAATGTTTTTGGGCTGAGCATTTATTACTCTTTCCCAGTAATGGTTAACTATTAAAACTATGTAAGGAGGGTACTGCAATGCTGCTGCAGACTATTCAGTAAGGCAACAAATTGCATATTTCACATTTAGCCACTGATGTTATTTTAAGTGTTTATTTTTGTGATTGTTAACACAAGAGCAGTTATATTCATACTGCATATTGGGCTACAGCTTGATGCATCCTGACTGGATGAAGAGGAGGCAAGCAATAAATAAGTAGTTGTGAATATGGCAGAATAATAATAATTTGAATAAGCATTCAAAGATCACTTTCTAATTGTTACCCAAACTAGAATGAGATGATGCTGATGTCTATTATGTTTTCCAGAAATAATTGTCAGCTAGCTTGTTTCAAACGCTTTATTTCTAAGAGGGAAAAAAAAGGCAAGAAAATTTTTTTGTTTAGGAAAAAAAATCAGTCTGGACCAGTACCAACCCTGAATGTATTTAGGCAGATTTTCATAAGAATGGCTTTACTTCATCCAAGAACTTTGGATATAAAATGTTTTCAGCTGGAATTGAAAATATCTAAAAATAAACAGTGTACCACCCTATTCCCTCTAATTAGTCAAATTGAATGTGGGCTGCACAAACAACAGCTTTAATTTACCCTGCTATTTCACTGGGATACCATCTTTTCTACTTCTACATATTTATGTAAACCTCATTGGTGTAAAAAATTGGTTCAGTTTTAGCCATATCTGGTTAAACTCAGACAATACAGCCATGCTTAATGTCCCGTGTTTGGAACGAGTTGCCCAAAGATGTTTTACCCTCAGTGGTTTTCCAATCCAGCCTCGATAACACACGCAGTGACCTCAGTATAGCTCAGAACTCACCTGGCTTTGCTGAGTTTGGGCTAGAGCTGCATTTGCAGATCTGATACTCGGATTTATTTCTAATGCTTTGTGCACCTATTGTAGGTATTAAGTGCATTCTTCATTTTTCTTTACACTATTCAGAACTCTTCAATTTCTAGCTTAGCAATAAAAGACGAATCAATTTAACTGGAAAATACAGTAATTATAGTCTGTATAATGCCTGTATGTGATTTGTTGTATTATTTGCTAGCATTTCAAGTCCAGTGATTGACTTATATATACTAATAAAAAAAATGTTTATTTTAGTTAGCTGTCTGAAGACTCCTACTGGTCTCATTTCCCCTTCCCTACAGATACACGAGTACCTGACAGATAACCTTTGAAATGGAGGCACAGAAGCATCCTGGTCTGACAGCTGCACTAGCAGACCAGCCACTTCCAACCTCTTCTCTTCAGCCTGCACAGGGTCCTTCAGCTCTCAGCCAAAGCAGTGCGGTTCCTCCACAGGAACAAGCACTGCCTCAACCTGTGTATCTAAAAGCCCTCACCATTCCCCTGTACCAGCCTGTCCAGCCAGGATGCTTTCAGCCAAGCAGTCAGCTAGTGGCTGGCAGGAGCTGTGGAAACCTGGATAGCAGTAATATACCTCTGATCCTGAACCCACTTGTTCCTTCCGAAGGCACAGATCAGCCCCAGTCAGTGTTTCAGAAACAACTTGGGCAAACTCTCACATTGAACATAGTGAGCACTTTACCTGTTTTATCATCACCGAATTCTTCTGTCGGCGCACCTATCGGAAGCCCAGGAAAATCAAAAAATGCTGGGAAATATATCTGTAAGCACTGTGGTCGAGACTGTTTGAAGCCAAGTGTCCTTGAGAAACATATTCGCTCTCACACAGGAGAGAGACCCTTCCCATGCACCACTTGTGGTATTGCATTTAAAACTCAAAGTAATTTGTACAAACACAGAAGAACTCAAACACACGTCAACAACACCAAACTACCCTCAGACTCTGACAACACCGGTACACTGGAGCAAAATGAGAAAGCAACAGAGAGCATCGCGTCACAGCAAGGCACCAAAGGACATGGTAGCAGCTATGAAGACCGGGGGATGCAGGTGAAACAGGTGACTTTGGAGACCAGTGCTGTAACAGACAGTAAGAAACTTAATGACCTTTCAGTGCCAGCAACAAGCAATTCGTCAATATTTTCAGAAAATCAAGAAAGAACTCATCAGTCTTTTAGTTCAAAGACTGATCAGGAAGTTTCTGAAAAAGAACCTCCAAGTTTATCATTTCCAGTTGCCTTGCCAAATGGTCAGTGCCAGATAAAGAAGATGCAGGAGCAAAGAACTCCAGCTGCCAACAAGCACATTCAGTTGCAAAGGCAGCAAGCAACATCTTCAGAAAAACAGTGGGATTACAAGCCATTTGACTGCAAGCTAAAGAAGTGTGAGAGCACCGACTCAGGGTATCTGTCACGCTCTGATAGCACAGAACAACAGTTGGCATCCTCCAGCCCGCTGCACAGCCTCTGTGAGCACAGCACTGAACTGGAAAACGAAACTGCTGTCAGCAGCTCAAGGTGCACGGCCGGAAGCAGTGCAAAGTCAGAGCCAGCTGAGAAAGCTACAGCCTTGATGCTAGAGAAAAAGAGGCTGGAGGAACACATTTCCAAACTTATTTCTCATAACAAAATTGTGGTGGATGACACTCAATTAGACAATGTTAGGCCCAGAAAAACTGTCCTTTCTAAACAGGGAAGCATAGATCTGCCAATGCCTTATACATACAAAGACTCTTTCCATTTTGACATCAGGACTTCTGACACCAACAGGAAAAAGAACTTCTCTCTTTGTTCAGCAAAATCCACCTTAGCACCCCTAGAGAAATGCAAGCCCATGTTTTTTCATTCCGTCCCCACACAGTTCTCCACAACGATAGATGCTGTGCCTGTCACACGAAGCAACTCCCTGCCATTTGTGGAAGGCACGAGAGCGGTGCATGACAACGCAGGCTGCTCAAAACCGCTGTCTCTTACTAAGCAGTCTGTAAATACAGGCGCTGCTGCTTTGCTGCCTAGCAACAACCCCATTGCAAATTCGGTGGATTTTCCCAGCAGCCATCCTCGAGCTCTAGTCAGACAGACAGCAGTGGATGACGTGCCACTAAGTAACGTGGCTGATCTTCCTCCCTCGGAGGAGCTGCAGATGAGTGCGAGGCTTGGGACTGGAGAAACAGTCAGCACTAAAAACAAGAAACACAATCAAAGGAAGCTAAAGATGTTCTCGGAAGAAAAATGGCAAATGTATGGAGATGAAACCTTTAAGAAAATCTACCAAAAAATGAAAAGCAGTCAACATGCCAGGAAAATCAAAGAAAGGGGGAATAAGATTGCAGATATTACAGGCTCCACTCCTGATTCAAAGGAATCAGCCAGCAGTACTGACACTGCTGAAGAAAAAGATGTCAGGACCTCTGCAAGTGACAGCCTTTCCTCCCTTGTGACAACAGAATTAAACACTGTTAAATCAGAAAATGGTACAAATGGTAACCAGATTCCACACAGCGCGTCCTTAGAGGAAACCACAGACAGTTTAACCTATGTAATGGAGACATCACATTCAGTAAATGCGAGTGCACATACTGCAGTGAGCAAAGCTTCCCAAGATCCCCATGGCAGCGACACAGACAAACACACGGGTGGCAACAACACGTTACCAGCTCCAAGCAGTCGAGAGTGCAGGCTGCAAAATACTCAGTGTCAACCCGACACTAACAGAATGAAGGATGACTGCTTGCCCGTATTGAGTAGCAAATGGGAAGAATCAAGTCCTGGGAAAGAATCCAGTACATTTAAATCAGATTATAAAAGCACTTCAAACAATTATGGAAACCATAACAGGAATCAGGAAACTGTCCGGCATGCCTTGATGCCCCTGTGGCTCCACTGCAGCAACAGAGAATCCTTAGGGAAATCCCAGAATTTACCATCAGAAAGAAAAAAGCTGAAAGTTGAAGTGGAGAAGAAAGAAAACATTATTTCAAAGTGCTACCCTAGGCCCTGTAGTGAAAGCAGTGCAGTAAATGAAGCAGAGACTGCCTGCTGCACTATCGCTCTGTGTCTTTCCACAGCACCAGTGAAACTCTCCAGTAAAACAGAGGAGCAAAACCTAAGCACAAGAATAAACGAATCAGCTGGAGGTGCTGAGAATGTAGATTGTGTAAAAACAAGCAGACTCCCCACTGGAGTCGTTCATTATGGTGACATTAACCCTCTTTCACATTCAGCAGAGATCTCAAAAGCTTCATCTGTGGGATTTTTGAGGTCTGACTTCAGGGGAAGTGATTGCGATACTTTTGCTTTGCACAACACAACAGATGTCAAAACGTGTCTTGTGAAAACAGGAGCACCACTTTTCAGTGACAGCACTGCTAAAGCATCTTCCAAAATCCATCATCTGCAATCTGGTCAGTTAACTCCAGACCCATCGAAAAATGCTTTTTCTCCAAAATATATCCTTAAATTGCCACAAGACCAGAGAAACTCTGATCTGTCGATTCTGCTTCAATCCGAACAGATTACACCTCGTCCTTCTGTGACAGATTCCTTAACCAACCCACCCTGCTCTTCTGACAGCAGATCACCCTGTTCTCATTCCAGTGATGTGCTTTGGTCCCCTTTAAAATTTGAAGTGAGACAAAAAGGCAGCAAAGGAGAGCTACGATGGAACTTACATGCAAACTGGAAAACTCCAGTATTGTGCTCACCAGTCAGCTCAGAAACAACAAATATCTTAACAACAGTAGATGGCACCTTTTATAAGGAGGAAATTATGAGAGGGGCTTGGAAAAGCAAACAGAATAAAAATAAACTGAATTATCAAAAACAAACAGAAGGGAAGTGGGTGAGCATAGCTACTTCATCAGCACAAACCCCAAAGAAGAAGATATGCTTTACTTCTATGTATTCGAGTGGTTTTGTCGTATCAGCCGACATCACAGAAGAAAAAGTTTTACATCAGCTTTGCTCAGGAGGTGACTCTTTGATGACAGCATCAGGCCGAAGGGAAGCTTCTAGCAAGGATGCAGAGTCAACAGTCATGGGGTGGGACACAGGTGGAAGCCCAGGGATTCTTAAGGACATGTCACCAACATCAGAGGATACGGAGCAGACTCGGAGATCAAAAGATAGCTCCACTTATTTGTGCCATTCCTTTGGCACTTTTCACTGCCACGCTCTCACCACTCACTGCGAGGAATTCCCAGCGCTGCGCAGCAATAGCCTGACTTCCTACTCCGAAAGTTTTACAGTGCTGAGCACCAAGAGCACCTTCCCATCACTAAATGCTGAAACTCGGTTAACCTGGTGCTGTTTAACAAAAAGCCTTCCTCTGCCTGCTGAGCAGAAAGGGAATGCAGACTCTGCTTATTCCTCCATGCACATCCACAAGGAGTCCAGCAATGAGTGCGCACTGTCAAAATGTGATATTTCTATTTTCAAAATGAAAAACGTTAGCAAGACTGTGGCCTCCAGCTTAACAAACAAGAGCTTAAACACACTGCCTTCATCCTTTTCTCAAGGACAGCAGATGCAGGAGGTAAGATTAAGGGTCCTATTTCCTTTCTCAAAAGGGTGTAATCAGCTTACAAGGACGATTTTAATAGAAAAACAAGAGAATTAAGAAACAAATTAAGAAACTAATGTCCATGTTTATGGACATTTGCAGGCATTTGTGATGCAGAATTGATCAGTTATATCATTACAAGTCATACTTGTTTGGTGCATAAAACATGCATAATTTTGTGTATGTACCTTTCACTCGAGAATTTCAGTAGAAATGCTCTCTAGTGAGAAGACCATAATTTCTCTTTCTCAGTTCTTCCCCTGGGGTTTTTCTTATATTCTTTTGTGACAGTATTTGTATTTCATAATTTTCATTTTAAATTAATATTTGAATTAGAGTAGGACGTATGAGACAGTCAAGCTCAAGATTTTATTTTACTTGGAGATATTTAGAGTCAAAGGCAGGCTATGTATTAGATGTTTCCTTATGGTGAGAGACAAACATCAACAAAATCAAATTGCATTAATACTCTGTAAGCGTTTAAAGCCTGAAAGCTTTTTGTTTTTAAGTAAGTGAAGACAGACCAGTCTGTACAGATCCTAGAACAGCTCTATAAGACTCAGCTTGCTTTTTATATGGGGAGAAGAATGCAAAAGAATGCATGCTAATTTGGTACAGGCCCACAGAAGCAGTGGGTTGTTTAAACGTTATAAAATCAGATGGACAAAGTGATTAGAAAAACGAACATGAAAATTCTAGGAAAAATGTCAGAGAATCCTATCAACTACTGTGCTATCAGTGCCATCTAATGAGCACAGATTCCTACTATCTCAGTTACTGTAATTCACAACTTTTAACGTGCTTTCAATTTTTTCAATGTTTTTAATAGTTATGCGCAGCAGCTCCTGCTGGTGCTTTCAAAACCATATCAGAGAAAAAGAAGAAACCATCAGTTTGCAAAAAGGAAAAACCAGCAGCAAATAAACTCAAGAGGAGCCACAAACAGAAAAAAATTAAAATCCCCCCCAAATGGTAAGGAATGTGCTTTCATATGGTTCCGTCTTCCCTGGATACAAACATCATTTTGCTGCGATGGGTGTAAAAGTGTCCACAGAAAACAGAAAGCCACTCCCAAAGTTCAGCCTTGTCAAAATTGGGGGAGAAAATAAATCTCATAGCAAGATCTATTCCCAACTGCAGCAGTTCCACAAAGGTAAATTATCAAGATTATCAGAACTTTCAATGTATTATTTGCTGTCAGGAGCAAACTTTTCTAAGCAAAAGAGACATACAGCAAAGAAAGATGATGACTGGTCAGGTGAGTGTTACTGTGCTTTAGAACTGATTCTTATCTGTCAAAATTGTCAGCACTCTGTTTTATTTGAAGGGAAGCAAAATACTTCAGTTTTATTCCTGTTACAGTTAAAAGCTATATGCAAGACCCTTCTGTCCTCAGACCTCTATCTTTTATTCACAAGAGAATGCAGAGGAGAAAAGTCAAGTTTTAGCAGTAAGTGAATAAAGCCAGCCATAGTTTAAATGATCAATCAGTTTAAATATGAAGCTGAAAGAACATAAGGCTATTGAAGGCACACTGTACCAATCAGTGCAGTTCCTCTGACTTCAGTGGCACTTCATTTCGGTGGAAGATTTAGCCTCTAATGTTTCAGGAGTGTGAGGCAGCAGAATGTCTGATGAAATGCTTCAGTAAGAAACACATCACGTGTGCATACATCCCTCTTATTTAATCTTATGACCAAAAACAGACAGAGCTTTTCCTTCAGGACAAATCACTGTTGGTAACTTAATCCCCATGTCTACCTTCATAAACAGCACCTCAATTTTGAAGGATCATCGGACCACACATAGAACACTCAGGTCTGTATTACCCAAACTGTCTTCTGGCATTCTTCTACACGTTCGGGTTCTTTTTTTCCCTTCTTCACCCCCATTTCTTTTCTGCCAGCCTCAGGATTGATTTGGCCATATCAGAAAAATACAGAGATTCAACTGAATATAGAGACCTGAAAGCCAATCTATATCAGTAGCTAGCTGGCCAAACTTTTAATAATGAAATGCAATATATTTTTCTTATACACCAAACATCTAAGTAAGCTGTTAGGTTTACTTAGCATTGTGTGTATAATGTTTGATTCTACTGATACAGGAATGGAAACTTCCAACGTAATTTTGTCCCAATCATTAAAATTAACTGAACTAGCTGGAGAAAATGACAAAGTCGTTGCATTATCCAGTGTGAGTTTTCTAAGTATCTGAAACATGTTGTTCAGCACTGATGATTGCTGATTAGGTTGCACATAAGAAGTACAAAAAAGAAAAGCAAAATACCAACAACTGTGCACTCATGCGATTCTTGTGCATTTCAGTATTTATGAGCATGCAGTTTTAAAACTCCAAATACAGAAAAGTGTTTCTAGATCTGCAACTCCTGAATCCTTTTCTCCCAGCAAACCAAGGACATACTGAAATCCAACACTGAGAAGTTCAGTAAAAGAAAGGTTGGAGTATCTTGTTTTTTGAATTAAGATGAACTAACATCTCCTCCACAGAAGTAAATTCCTGAATTCCCAGCAAAAAGGCCTGATGTTGTGGTATTATTTGTATTCTACGATGGCCAGTCTTAAATAGCACATATTTGTTTCGCCTTTCAATGCCACTTGCAATGCAGGTACAGAGGAAGGCACATACATGGATACACTCAGCTGAAAATGAGCCGACTGAACAGGAGACGCTGTTTTCCAAATAGAACACTGGATGTTTTGAAAAAGGGCTGCTCATCACAAGCCTGTACATTTAACCACTGTAAGAAGTGCCATTCTCCTCAGTCAAAGGTTCAAGGTAAGCATTTCAAATATTTTTGAGTGTACTGAATGTTTGGTTTTGAAAAGGCTGAATGTTAGCAGTATTTCTGATATGTACCTGTGTATGGGAACTGCTGAGTCACGGCCTGAACCTCTGATTGATCACCTGAGGTGAGCCATGAGCCAGCCAGAGGAGCACAGGTGAAGGCAATTCTCCTGTGCTGCAGGAAGGGATGGAGCCTGGCTGCACCCCTCCTAGACCTATTTAAGAGCTGGCTGCCAGTGAGGAAGGATCTCTTCTGGGATCCCTCCTTCTGGTGTTTCGTGGTGAGCCCAGCCAAGGGGTAAGCCTTCCATTTTATTCTCTCTTGTTATCATTGTCCACTTCACCTAACTCTCTTGTTTATTTTGTGATTGTAACATCTTGATATCCATTGATTATACAAGTTAGTCTGGAGTGTTGACTTGGTTTCAGTAACCCAGTGAAAATATTCGGCTCCCTTGATTTAAAGGAGTGGTAGTAATGGGAATGTTTGTGTTGTGACCACCTTTGAAGCAGAGACGTTATCTTGTGTCTTTTTCATAGCAGATATGAATAGGTATTACTCTGCAAGACATCTTAATTACCATTGAAAACAAAGTTGAGAAAAGGTAGCTGGGAAAATGTATAAGGCTTAGGATGAAAAGTTACAGAAAGCAATAAATACATGAGAGTTAGATGAGTGAAATGATGAGAAATTCACTAATTCTGGCATGTAGGGGAACAACATTCAAAGTAAAAGTTTATTCAAACCTTTTCTCAATAGAAAATTATCTACACCAGCAAAAGGACTCGTCTTGCTCTGCCTCAGACAAGCTGCTTTGCATAAGGAAGAAAGAAGGAAAAAATAACTCAGGAACATTTTCCCACATTGAAAACCTTACCCACGTTAAGCAAAATGACACAGAGGATAAACAAGTAGGTATTGTACCTTATATGACTGTTGATTATGAGAAGAAAACAAAACATACCGGTAATTAAAACTTGAACTTTAAAGCTGCTAAACATAATGCAAGTTGAGAGTGCTTTATCGCAGATTTTTACCAAAAATGTATTAAAATTATCTTGGGGCACTGCTGTTGGAGGTGCCAGCAGATAGGGCGTTCTGTGCCACGTGATGGAGCAGTTACTAGCTTATCACTGGGGAGGATGCTAAGAGACACATGCAGTGAAAAGTGTGTGCATCCAACATGGCATCAGGGCTTCTTCAGCCATCTGGGTGCATCTGTGAGGCTACAGTTTCAGTACTACCAAAGGCTGCATTAGCCAAATGGGGCTTTAGGCACATCTGTGCATGCTGCAAGCAGTGCTGTTGTATGCAGTGTCAGCAAAGCCTCTGAGAGAAACAGTCTATATCTTTATCCTAACTGTTTTACTTTTCCCTAGACTAGCCACAATCAAAAACAGATGCTACTGAGCCAGAAGGGTTTTGTGTAGCAGGAGCACTGGTTCCTCACATAAAATAAGCATTTAGGAGAATAACTCTTATGATGGGTATTATTGTAGGAAATAAAACTATTTCATATCTCACAATCTCAGACATCATATTTCTTAAAGATTCATCCTAAAACTTTCCTTCAGTGATGCATAAACACCTTTGAAAGATATATATTCAAATATCTTAATAAAAAGAATGCTGTCCCTACACATACACATACACATGCAGCTGGAAATGTTTGGCTCCCATTACCCAAAAATTATTAGCATGATTTGTCACCTAACCAAGAAAAAACACCTTAGAAAAAACATACATCTATTACTACACCTCACATAGTGGAAGAAAGAAAAGCCTTCTCATCAAAAGTGGGATGAGTAACTCTGTCTGCAGTAATGAGTTGTTTGAATAAAGGTTGATACTATCCTTAGCTACTCAGTTGATACAAGTTACTGCACAGCTAAATGCCTTCTACCAACATAGTTGACATTATTATCACACTCTTTTAAAGGACAGCATTGCTTTGGATTGAAAATTTTTAATGTAAATGTTTCCTCTCCCTAATTTCTACAGGACATTTCTGGGAAAATCAGGGAACACACCAGAACAAATTTCTCTTTTCAGACCATTGCACCTCTGGAAGTACCTATGGCAGCTCATTCCCTTCTGTCCTCAGTCACTACAGCCATGCAGGAAGTCAGCAGTGATGTGGAACCTCGCTGTTCAGTGACACAACCACTTGTGCTTCAACAGTCGGTTCCAGAGGAGTCACAGACAAATGTTCAGACAGACTCAATGGCATCTTTTTGGTCCTGTCCTTTTGGTCTTACAAATACAATCAAAGGTGGCCAATCTATCAGCACAAACTCAGAGACTTCTTGTCCCCTTTCCTTAAGTCTTGAGGTAAGACAGGAAAGCGTACCAAGTGTAGAGTTAGAGATTCAGAGCTTTGGTACGTTAGATTCAATGATTCAGGCCTCAGGAAGAGCAGAAGATCAAACTGAAGAAAATACATGCTCATCTTCCAAGGAAAACTCAACTCACAATTCCCAAGCTAGATGTTTGCATTCACTGGGATCAAAAGCAGAATCTCATCTTGAGTCAGTCTCTGTGGCTAAATTATCCCATACAGAATGCACAGAGCAGGAGAACTCTCAAAAAATCCTTCACCTTCGTGGAGCTGCAGCCAAGAATGGAGCCCACCAGCAGACAGAGACCTATGGGAGGCAGCACGAAACAGCTTCTACATTTAAAAAGCCCTCAGTAACACTCAGGTCCCCTGAATTCAGTAATTTCTCAGCAACAGCTTCCAAGACATACAAAAAGAGAGGTTTAGAAATGATGAGGAAGCAAATCAGAGTTGAATACGATGACACTAGTAGCGATGATGAAGATAGGCTTGTTATAGAAATATAAATAGGCTGCTAGTAGCACGCTTGCATGATGGCCCATTACATAGGAAATACCAGGTATGTTTGTATTTCTGAAGCACTTTAGGATCAGGAAAGCCATTCCTCCGTGCAGCATTCCCTTCTCAAGAGAGTTCTTTATTCAAAGGACTCAAAACTTTAAAAATAAAACTTATTTGAAACAAAAGGGGAAGCTTGCATCATATACTTCAATGGAAATATTAAGCTTGCATTTATGAGGGGTTTCTAGCATTGTTAACCTTATTACCAGTCTCACCTCGTGCCCAGAAGCACTAGCTGCCAGTGGTTGTATTATTAAAAGCCTGCAGTGTATTTATGTAAATACACACACCAACAGGAGCAGCAGCTAAGATTTCCTGGAAGAATATGGATATACTCCTATATACTCTTTTTTTGTAGTCACTGCTAGTTGTTCTGGGAGTGACAAACTGGCATTCAGGGGAAGATGGATTCCCTAAGTGTATGTGATCCTGAAGGAGCCTGCAAAAATGCTGATCTTTCTCCATGTTGCACAAATGTCAATGCTTCGCTGTGACAAACGTCACAAGCACGCTTTGGTTTGTGTTCTGTGCCTTTCATGCCAATATCTACTCAAATATTCTCGATTTCTAGTTGGAAAACATGGATGTTCGCTATTGGTACCTCCTTGTGGTAAAAGATCTGACAGGCTCTTAGATGTAACTGCAGTGATGCTATTTTATTGACAGTGAAGAAACTATTAAAAAAAGCTGTTCCATAAATTGTGCTAACAACCCCAGATTTACTGGTTTCTTTGTGAATAAATAATTAGTCCAAATTTGACCAGGTGTATTCACTTGATTAAACCAATCAGCATCCCTCACTTCTCCACTATAGTCAAATTCTTTACTTAAACGTTTACCAGTTTTAATACTGTGAATCACATACAGTGTTTTATAGAGAAACCTACGTGGAATACTTGGAAATCCCTTTGCTTCAGTTATGCACAATTAAGCTTACAAAGATCCTGCTTACAAATAGATCTGGTATACTATGGGGAAAACAAATAAATGCATATGTGAAAAAGGATGCCAAACATCACATGGCATCAGCTAACAGAAACAAAACCAAGAGTTGAGTCCCATGTATTCCTGTATTGTCATGTTTTATAAATGGGAAGTTGTATGGGAACTGCTGAGTCACGGCCTGAACCTCTGATTGATCACCTGAGGTGAGCCATGAGCCAGCCAGAGCAGCACAGCTGAAGGCAATTCTCCTGTGCTGCAGAAAGGGGGGAAACCAGGCTGCACCCCTCCTAGACCTATTTAAGAGCTGGCTGCCAGAGGGGAAGGATCTCTTCTGGAGATGGCCTCCATTGGTGTTTTGTGGTGAGCCCAGCATAAAGGTAAGCCTTCCATTTTATTCTCTCTTGTTATCGTTGTCCACTTTGCCCAAATCTCTTGATTATATTGTGATTGTAACATCTTGATATCCATTGATTATACAGAAGTTCTTGAAAATATCCATACGGAACTTAACAGTTAGACACAATTTATGTTCACAAATGTACACTGTTACAGAAAATAAAAATAGTGACAAAACATTGCTATTTCTAATGTTGAAAAGTTAGGAAAAAATCTACCCATTCAGAACTGAGGATGAGCCACAAAAGTTTTCTCCCCTTTTGAAAATGTCACAACTCAGAATTGACACAGAATTTTCAATAGCATTACATAAATAATTGGTGACAAAACTGCAGGGAAAGGAATCTAGGAACATTAGTTCAAGGAATCATGCATTTTCAGTTTCCTCCTTTAGTTCTCATTTACTAAGTGCTGAGGTTATAAAACCTCACAACTTGCAGCTCAGAAATACAGTCAGTTCTCTTGCTATACTTTATTGCAAATTTCTGTAAGCATCAGTTGTATTTCCACGTGCCACACAACAAGAGGACAAGATGGCCTCAGATCTTGCCTAACTTGGTAAGCTTTGGATTCAGAGCTCAGCAAGCATGGGTGTATATGTGAAGAATGAATGGCATCAGCAGCAGTATGGCCCTGTGAATGCTGTGTGTTGTTGACAAGAGAAACAGTACAAAATTGCCTTTTAATTTAGAGTGATACAGCTGAAGAAGCCTGATACAACTCTAGATTGTTTTTGTATTGTTAGAATTTTGTCTTTATACTGCTGAGTTGTTTTATCTTAATAAAAACAAAAGGTGAAGATCAAAATATCACTAATATTGTGCTAGTTACTAGGGGTAATTTATAGAACCAACTGCAGAGATGGGAGCTCAAGAATGTCTCTATTCTCAGGGTATAAACTAAGCACTATGCTATCCATAGAATTTCACAAGCAAATCTTTTCTTAACTACAAACATGGACATAATGAATGAGCTGCCAGTTCCTGTCGCCAATCGATAGTAGAAACTCACACTCATTTACTAGAGAGCCTACACAATTATTATTTTTTTCCAAAAATACCATTACTACTCAAATTCAAGCATATTGAATTTTAATCATTTTTAGTCATAATTCTCTTAGATTTCTCAGTCTACATCAAAACTTAACAGGAGAACCAATGGGTTACTTTGACACCTCTGAGAGAGATGATTAGCAAGAAAGTTGTTGACAACAGCGTAATTTGCCGAGTTTCACTAGGTTTGGCATTACCAGGACTAGAAAGATCAAAGAAAAACCTAAATTGTTCTTGTTCTACTCAGTATTAGTGCTCCACAAACAGTGGGGAGTTTCTCAGTGAATCTTTGGTGCAGAGAATATTGTGAAGTCAAAGAAATACAATAATGTTAATCTAAATTGGAAGAAGAGAGGAAAGAAGGGAGAAGGAAGAGATGTCAACATAAAGACTGCAGAAAATCTTGTGAGAATGCACAAAACAGAAAAAGTTGCTTGAGTACCTCATCATTAAATACCAAGGAACAGAAGTGATTTAGAAGAAGAAAATCCAATTACTCTGACTGACTGAAGAATGTGATGGTTGGTGTCCATAAATTAGAATAATAAAGTAAGGATGCAATCCCTGTCATTTTTATTTCAGAGGTTGAAATGGAAGTAATCCAGAAAGCTTGATGTGACAACAGTAAATATAAACAGGAAAAAAAATGCATGTTTGCTCTCCAGAAAGGTACTCACTGCAAACACACGATACCTAAACTTAGAGAATACAAAAGGTGTTGTTCAGATGGAGTAAGCTTGGCTCAAATATAGAGGCTGAACTGAACTACCAGGCATCCCATAGATATCAGAGGTGTGACAAACTGTCACTTATCATAGTTAACAGATTCTGCTTGTGACTGACAGGTTGCAATGCATACCTGAGATTCAGCACAGCCAACATTTCTTTTCAACTCAAACTAAAGATGAAAACACTCTACTTTTTATGAAGGAACAAGTGTATTTATGGCCACTCCTCACTCAAAAATGTTAAGCATCCTTACTAACGAAGCAATTTCAATTCTGAGGAGTCACACTGATGTACATGTATAAGTTAACTCAAGAAAAGCAATTCCTTGCACTGCTACACCAGATATAGTATCAAAGTATCATGTCCTTACAGTGAAAAGTATTCTCCAAATCTGTTCCCAACCAGATTTCAGCTGCTATTTTATTGTGCTGAGGAAAACTAATACCAAGCCACTTGAATATTGTGTCTTTTTCCTAGAACCATTGGATAGCAGTAGTCTGATATAAATACTTACGAAGTTGCAATAAGGATGTCTGTTCTTCAAATAAACTTTCAAACTTTCTCCATATCTTTGTTAATAGTAGCATGGATGACAAAAATATGGGTTTTTCGCAGTTTTTAATCAGAATTCAAAGTTCTGTGCCAAAAGCCTGAGAAAGTAAAATTTCTAATGCTTCAAAGCTTTGCAGAGTCTCCTAAAAATGAGTCTTTTAGAAAATCTCGATACCTGTCAAATCCAACCCAGATGTAAAGAAAACCTTTGACAATGACATTTAGAAAGCACAAGACAAGACAACACTTGTATCAGACTAGACCAGCAGCCTCCACGTTGGCTATATTCGCCTCATGCTTTTGCAAGAGTTCTCTCATTAAAATAACTTATGGATGTGTAATGAATTTGCTGTAAAAAGTTTTTTCTTGCATAATGGCTAAATGATGTCTTTTAAAGTGGAATTTCTCAGTAATGTTGAAACATTCTAAAGAAATTCAGAAATGTTGTGCGAAGAAACATTTATCCTCTGTAGATTTCGCAGCATTAAATATAGAAATTTCTTTGTCATATCACAGCTGTAGCTGGAACAAAAATGGGATGATTTCAAGCTAGATGAGAGAGAATATTTTAAACTATTTCTTGACAGCAGTAATCCCTGATATATTAACTCAGTATTGAGTTCAACAATTTGATTTAACATTAGAACTGAAAACTGAGAAGAAAAACCATCTCTCTTTAAAAGCATTAACAGGTCTGTTGTTGCACATTTAACAGCATCACACAGGGAGGCTGTGACTCCAGCACGGTCTTTCTGGCCATGCAGGAGCAGGGTCTGAATCACATGCATCCATGTGTGAAAACTGTGAGAAATGTTCTGAAGTTACCAAAGTTGGAGTTTGCATATCCAAACCCAGCTGGCCATCTGGCGAACAGCAGATTTTGGCTTTCTATGCCATACTGTGCTCACAGAACAAGGCTGCAACCGGGTTATGTAGGAAAATTATTCTCTGCCTTTTACACAAAAGATGTGTCAGCTACAAAGTGATATTTCTAATTAATTCTCAAGAAGCTGAATATCAAAGCCACATGAGGGCACCAGCACAGAGAAAAATCTGTCTCTTTATCCTTCAAAGTCAGCAGCAGTTCTGATGGATCATTACTGTGCTATGAAAACATCTGAAATTTCTTTTCATGTGTGTGATTCTCATCATAATTTTACTTCTTCTGTTGAAGAATGCAAATTAAAAGGCAAAATCTGTCACTGTCACTTAAGATCTATATACAGCACCCACTACTCAAATAGGCTGTAAATGCATGAATGTTTCAGATTTTTACCCTTCTTTAGATGTGAGCAAACACGTTCTCATTATTTCAGACTTTCCTAATAATCTCATTAATAACTGATGTTTCATTGATCTGTCTGGAAAATCATAACTCATACATGCAATTCCACTAGGGTGGATGAGAGGGGTGCAAACCAACCAGAGCAATCCCAGAGATTAAGAGACATGAAGATATTTTCACAGGCATGAAAGTATAACCTACAGGAAAAGATACCACAAACCTGCTCAGCATCAGAAAATCAAGGATGTATGAACAAAACAGGAATGCACCATCACATCCATTCTGAGAGGATATGAAATAATGGGCTTAATTTGCAGCAAATAAATTGCATACTAAGTAAAGATCCCTGTTGAAGAGCAACTGAACAAGTACCAAATAGACCAGGGAGGTGACAGGCTCTTCATTATTTGGGAACTTCAGTAACTGTTTAGATGAGTGTTCTTATTATAATATCATTTGTTTATGATTTTTTTTTTTTTTTTTTTTTTTTTTTTGTGTGTGTGTGTGTCAGTAGCTTCCTCAAAACACCACGCAAAAATATTTAGTACTTGTGTGGCTGTTTATGCCCTACTTGTGTACACACACGGAACTGTATCTAAACACATTTGATTTGCATTACTCAGAATGTATACTGCAATGTATATCTGGTATTGTTTATTGCTTGTGTTTTATTTACACAAATGTGTTCCTGGTTCACATTATAATTATCATCATGTAGTTAAGCAGCTTTGCTAAACCACTGTACATTTGGTTAGGTTTTTTTTTTTTTGTTTTTAATTTTAGCAAAGCTTTTGATGTGTC